AACTAAGACTGCTATTTAAGGAAGAAACTAAAAAAAAAAATAGCTCCTAATACTGATTGCCATACAAAAAAAACAAAAATAATAAAAATAAAAAAATCTCTCCCTCGGGGAATCGAACCCCGGTCTCCCGCGCTTATCGGTTTTAATGACAAGCGGAAATCATCACCACTAGACCAAGGAAGAATGCGATGGCCGAGTTACTGCTCGGCCACTTGGCTGGTTGATATTTAAGAGTTTGCCTTCTTGACTTTATAACTGAAGAATTAGAAGAAGTCATCGTTTACATTATGAAAGCTACTTTTTCGCCTTTATTTCCTCATTCTTTTCAAGGTTTCTGGCTCTTCTCTTCTTCTAGTTATTACAATCTTGTGCTGGCACTAGATGTGTCAAGAAGAGTGAAATTAATTGACTCAGACGCACTTGATTATATATATCTCTCTCAAAGCTCTCCAAGTCGCAATCACAGTTAACCACCAAAACAGAGAAAATCACTAAATGCTACCTGATATGTACTCAAAACACTTCAATGAGCCCCAGGCTTGGCCTTTCCTAGGAGACAAGTATCCAGTCTTGTCATCCTGACAGCCCTTAAAAGCCGCGTAGGTCTCTCCTATCCAGTCCTCATCCACACATTTCGTACCCGAATACATATAACACTTGCCATGTGTGAGATACAATGACTTAGGCTTTGTCACTCTACTGGAAGCACAGGTGCCCCAGTTGAGACCACCGTTAGTCCACCATCGACAGGACGTGGTTGTATCCGAGATTGTGGTGTCGGTATTGTCCGCGAGAATGATGCAATTCTCAGTATTTTGAGTTTCATGTCCTTGAAGAGAGAAGTAATCACCTGTACAACCAGCACCCTCGTATATTGTCATTTGCCAAGTTGCAGACGGAGCGACACTGCTCGTGGTTTTTGTTACCACTTCTATGCTAGTCAAGGTTACCATGTTCACCTTCGCAGTAGTACTCTGTGAAGTAGTAGCCTTTGAAGTAGTAGTCGATTTGGAAGTAGTCGATTTGGAAGTAGTCGATTTGGAAGTAGTCGATTTGGAAGTGGTGGTTTGGGAAGTAGTGGGCTTGGTAGTGGTTTTCGAAGCAGTAGAAGTCTTTAAAGTAGTCATCTTCGAAGTAGCACTTTTGGTTGTGACTTCCTTTTGGGTACTCTTCGGTCCACAATTGAACAAGCAACCGCTACTAGCATTGCAATAATCCGAGCTAGTGCCACACTGACCAAACTTAGAACACTGGAGATATAGTTAGTAGAGTCAACAAGATGGGCAATTCCGACAATAAACTCACACATTGATTCGAAGAGCACTGGTTTAGAGAGGCGAGATCGGCATAGTTGGCAGGGCGTCTTGTCCCGGGAACCTGGGGACCGCAGACAGCATGCGGGAGAGCAACCGGCATAGGAAGGGCACCGGAGCTGAGACAAACAAAACTGCCTTGTTTCACATTGCCACAACCTGTCCAGTCCCAGGCTCCGACATTCCAAGCTTCGATATTGCTGGTAGTGAGCTGGTAGCGCTTAGCAAGAGCTGCGCAGGTATCACCTTGCTGAATGGTATAGGTATAGCAGATACCATCGCTACCAGGCGCAAATAGACTGCGTTTATTGAGTGAATGGCCATGAGAGTCGCCAGAGCCATGCCCGAATTGGGCAGTTGCTATGTGGACAAACAAAAGAGAGAGGAGGATATGAATGAAATACATCGCATTGAAGATACCCTTGAACGTATTTCTCGAGGAGATCAATCCATCCTTTATAAACAGTTGAATATGAGAAAAAAGTAATTCTTCGAGATTAGCTAGTCCGATTAAGGTGACCATTGGATATCGAGGCCAGTTCATTGTTTAAATGCAGACCCCAGGAACCATACAAGGTTCTGCCTATCGCATCGAGTGATGGGTGAGTTTAAACAATTCATTCAACAAAGAAGATGTCACAACCCACGTATCAACCTCTTCGGCTTACCCTTTGTTTCCTACACGTGATATCCGAGGGCTAGAATCAATACGTGATTCGCAAGCAAATAGAATACGGGGAAGTTTGCGCATACAAGGACAAACGCATCAGAATACAGACATAACAAGAGCCAAAACTAGGAAAAAAACAACGCAAGACTTGGCCAGAAAAGGAAAAGGAAATTAGAAAACCCTAGATCCTGGAGAGAGCTGAAAGAAAACCGAGAGGAAACGGAGGGGAAGCTGACAACAAAGAGGCTATTCAGCAATAAATAGACTTGATGGTGCCCATGCATCTGGAAGACTATTGAGACTCTATCCCAAAACAGTGCTCAATAGTGCTAATGGAGTCACATCCTGACACCAGAGGCAAAAAACCTCTTTCAAGTTCCGAGTCATGCGAGAGTCCACGGGGAGACTTCCTTTTGTGCCATATTTATCCGGTAGAGTTGAATAACGGTTTCCTTGGACCGACAACCTGCTCAATAGCTACGTCGCATGCTTGATGGTCATTGGGGTGAGCCAAGAGAAGTTGAAAGGAAAGCAGCCAGAGAGAGATAAAAGAGAATACTGCTGACAGTTGCCAGAACAGGTACCGGGGACAAGCTGGCTATAGGACAAATGTGACATCTATGCTAGCAATGGTCCAAAGTGGACGCATGACCTTCATCCGGCAAGTCGCGGCAAGTCTGTGCATTTGATAAGACTTAGAAATCCACGCTATTAACTCCTAGGGATTGGTGAGAATTATACTTCAAAGTTCAAGTATTGTGGCTTGAAGACCCGGGATTTGAGTCAATTGTGCCGGACTCTTCTGATTTATTACTAGGATGAAGGAATTGCGGCATCACGGTCCAATGACCCGACGCTTAGATCCGGACATTATCATCGAATGAGGTTAGCGCGGACTAGCTCTTCTGCACGCAAGTCCGAAATCTGCACGCGGGGACTCCGATGCAGGGGTATTGTCTCTTCTCATCCGGCGGGGAATTCACTCGGAGAAATATGGCTACGATGTCTTCTTTCTGGTGTCTTCTTTCAATATGCCACCACACAACCAGACACACATTATTACTATACACTGCTAGTATACATACCATCTAGGTATGGGAATAGTATCCACATTATTCACAATTCCCGTTTATCCACCCCTCCCGCATCCTCTCCTGGGCATCATTGCTTGTTGAAAGCTTGGCACTCTTATCACTCACAGGCTAATGGCTAGAAAACAAGCCTATATATTAGCTTCCAAGCCACAGTCACATCAAGTGGCTGTTACCTACTGAAAATCCCTGCCGGTGCGCTCTCAAGAAAGCGATCACTTCCATATTAGTTCGGCTTTCTCATTCTACGATACTTGTTAATCTTTATCAACACCACCAGCCGTCGGACATCCGGAGACCCGGAGCGCTGGAGATTGTATCCTTTTGGCACACTCGAGAAATAGACAATGCCATTGGACTCAGACCCTAGTCTTTGCTGAGTATGTGTGGATGCAATGCATGAAATAGGTCCGAGCAATCGAGGCACCTGGGTACTTGTGACCCGAGCTTGCGAGAAGTTGCGCCGATAAAGTGAAAAATTCTTCAGAAAACGGACCTTCCTGGGGTTATGCATCGGTCTCCGACGGCATCAGAAGAGATGAGGGGGTGTTACACTCAGAGAGAAGTGTTCAATGTGCATTAGCTCGAGTACTTCGGCAATATTGTCTTCTATTCTTCCGTGAAGCTATCCGTGGACAACTAGACACGATGGCTATATAAATGCGCATTTCCCATGAGAGTTATCTCGTTATTCACACAGTCAAGCTACTTCTAGTTCTTTCTATCAAACAGTTCAATCATCCAATCTGCACTATGAAGTTCTCGGCTACCATCCTCAGCGCAGCGTTGCTCACAGCATCAGCTATTGCCGCTCCTCTCACCGAACGCCGCGCAGCTCGCAATGTTGCCAGAGCTGAGGGCCGCGCGAACCGAATCACCCGTCCGCCCTACAAGCCTGACACCAGGGAGCTCCTTAGTCTGAACAAGACAAGCCACGAGGATTACAGCTCCAACTGGGCCGGTGCCGTGCTCATTGGCACCGGATATACCTCTGTCACCGGACAATTCACCGTCCCCACGCCCAAACTCCCCTCAGGTGCTTCCTCTACCACCCAGTACTGTGCCTCTGCTTGGGTCGGTATTGACGGTGATACTTGCAGCACCGCCATCCTCCAGACCGGAGTTGATTTCTGCATCCAAGGAAGCCAGGTTACCTACGATGCCTGGTACGAGTGGTACCCGGATTACGCCTACGACTTCTCCGGCATCCCGATCTCCGCGGGAGATGTGATTAAGGTCACTGTGACCGCTACCTCCAAGACGGCCGGTTCTGCCGTGATCAACAACCTGACTACTGGCAAATCTGTCACCCACACTTTCACCGGTGGTGTTGATGGAAGCCTGTGCGAGTACAATGCTGAATGGATCGTCGAGGACTTTGAAAGCGGCGGCTCGTTGGTTCCCTTCAGCAACTTTGGAACTGTGACTTTCTCAAACGCCCAGGCCAAGTCTGGCAGCACGACTGTCGGCCCATCTGGCTCTACTCTCATTGATATCAAGCAAAGCTCGCAAGTCTTGACCTCCTCTTCCGTTACTAGCAACAGTGTTACTGTGAGCTATGTTTAAGGTGAAGGTCACGAAGATTGGGAACGCAATAGTGCACTAGTGGGCGAAGGAGAGTCGGGAGGTTGGGGGTCGCAAAGAAAACAGGGTTTGGCAAACAATGGAAGATACTGTGTTATCATTTGTGGTAAATACATTAGAAGCCAATCGAAACTCATTTTGCCTTGATTGATACATAGAGTGGGGAGTTATTTGGCATAATCTAGTGGCCATTGTGTGCACTCCTCGAAAATCAATATTGTAGATACAGTTTAGCTATACCGATGTCCTCCAAAATATTATAAACCAAATGAAGGTGGTGATCATCCAGATCTCGTGTAAATATCGCAATCATACCACGTCTACATATTTGACAATTTCAGCTTAAGCATTCAGGTTGAGCGGCGAGACACAAGAGAACGAGTTAAGCTGCGGGAGCTGGAAGGCATCAACCATTCCTAGGAGAGAAATTAGTATGGAGTAAATAACAAGAAAGCATAATAACTCACCAACAATAGCCGCCCACATGCCCAGTCCACACATCGAGAGTGATGCTAAGCAGAACACAATATGCCAAACGTTGGTGGCGACTTGGAAGGCGCCGCCAGAAAAGAAACCGCGGACCCATCTTGCCATTGTTGATTCGGTCCGGATCACCTCTCCGGTTGTCGGGTTGAATCCTTCACCAATCTCCGGTCGAATAGCATTCTTCTGGATGTCAAATGCAAGGGCAAACAAGGGAGGTATGGTAAATGTCAAGTTCAAAAGCATGGAAGCGGAAATGATGCTGACGAAGCCAAAGTAATCTGGAACGGCTGCGGCGATGATAAAGGCGATCGTCCACCAAATTGGGACGAGGGAAGCATAGACAATTTTGCCAACCCGGGTATTCAGAGGAGGCATACCGAAAATATCCATCAAGACGTTATTGTAGACGATCTTGACTCCAATGTTTCCGTAGAGGCCTGCGCAGATCAGAGCAGAGAGCAAAGAAACCATGTTGCCGACGGTTTGCCACGAGTAGACGCTGATACCCTGGTAACTCGGACTGAAGCTGTACTGTCCTTGGAGATGATAGACGACGCATCCGTGAGTGAGATAGACGCTGTAGATAAAAAACTGGGCTCCCCACATAGCCTTGAGGAAGTCTCGAGGCCGCCGCATTTCGGCCATGAATTCAACAAACAGCTGTGCACCTGCATATGCCAGCACACCGGAAAGCATGCCATTCACCGACCCAATGAGTCCATCTGTGGGGATATTGTTGTAATGCATGATCGGCGGGTAGTTACCCTCACTATCCGGTGTGATCGTTGCTCTGTCAACCGCACTGCCAGCAGACCCGAGCGTGGAAATTTTGTAGTTCGGTGGAGACATCGACATCACACCCATAGTCATGAAGATGACAAACAGATTCATCCACACTGCGAGATTTGCAATCCAGCCATACGCTTTGAGAGTCCTGATCTGAGAAACAAAGAAGCCGACACAAGCAAAGATGACGGGACAGACAACATAGCAGAGTCGGAACTGTGATACTTGAGAGATGTTTTCGCCAAATCCGATTGTGACTTGGCCCACAAGCAAGAGTAGCGAAATCGCCTGAGAGACATTTGTAAGATGGCGACCGTACCGACCAAGCGTCCGGAATCCGAGATCACCATAGTTCTTGGCCGGGAACTCGTAGCTGTCCACGCCGAGGAAGACGCGCCAAAGGAGATATCCAGAGTATCCGGCCATGAATCCGAAAACAGTGTAGAAGGCAATGCCTATACCCCAATCAGTCAACTCAGTGTTCCAGATGTGTACAGGAATGAATGCTAACCTGGTCCCCAACCCAACGTGCCCATTGCAAAGCCCGCACCATACGGGCCCAGAATATCCGTTGTGATCAAATAGAAACCTAGCAGTCGTGTAAGTATGGAGTTCGAATGAAAGATAAAATTGCCGACTCACAGGCACCCCATGAGGCAGACCTAAGCGAACGGCTTGCATTTGTCCATTCCTCGTCTGTGATTGCAAGTCTCCGCTCGCGAGTTGAAAAGTCTTTCTCTGTCAGTGTCGTAATTGGCCCTTCTTCGGTCTTTTTGCCTGAGAGAAGTTGTCGGATATTGAGCACCGGAGGCTCCAAAAGCTCTTCCTCTTCTCTTGTCTTCTTCGAATAGTAATGGTACTCCTCGAATGTGATATTTGGATCGTAAGCGTCGCGAGCCTGTGGTTTGATGAGGGTTGTTGAAATCAACTCTCCAGGCGAAGTCAACTCTCGAGGCGATTCTGGCATGAAACCGCCCTCTTTCTCGTCCAAAGAGAGTTCCATATTCATCGACAGTGAGTGTGGAATAGGCTTCAAATGAGAATGTATAGTGTGAGACAGATGCGAACATTCATTGTCCAAGTGGGTAAAGTTGATCCCTTTTAATGTCATATAAACCAAGCGCGGGGGATAAGCAGATAAGCATCTGTCCAAAGTTAATTAATTAATTCCGAGGTATACAAGCATTAATTCGGAGTGTTGTCGGAGAGAGAGCCCAAGTCTCCTATCGCGGGACTGCGACTACCAGTTGGACGCGTTAATCTACCGATAAATCTAAATGAATGCAACGATAGACCAGTCATTGATAACGGTTTCTGATAATCCTTGCCTGATTGAGGGTCACTCTGGAGAAAGGGCCATTGAGCGAGAACTAATGGGGAGGAAAGATAAGTTTCGATGGAACCTCAGGCCCACAGGTGAGTGCTTGATTGGTGTCTGGGGTATCCGGAGTGCAGCCCTAATTCCTCAAATCTCATGATGGAGTGCAGGAGGGCTAGTTACATCCATAGATGCTAGCCTATCCCCTTCCCCCTCACATTGAGCGAATACTCGGTTCTCCTTGATAGATGTTTATTGCTGGGATGGTCAAACATGTAATCTGACTAATAAAAATAGTCACGGGACAGCATAACACGGACACAAAGTCACGTGGATCTCGGGGGAAAATACTCCCGTTCCGGTATCAACAATGCCAATGTTTTATGCTTATCCACCAATACGCAGTAACCGGCCAGTATATTTTACGGGCTATTTTTCACACCCTATGGTCGTATATGTCAGATTATTTGTGGGAGAGAAACATCTCGTATAAATACAGATTCAAATGATGGCAAGAAGGGTATGCGCAATGTTATAGGCGACAAAATCGAGATGTCCTGATGCAATCAGACACAGAAGAGCCCAAAAAGAAAAAAGAAAAAAAAGCAAGAAACAAAATCACCGGCATCTGGCTAAAGAGACTTTCCGTACTTCTCATACTTCTCATACAAGTGCATTATCGCTATTCTCCTCTGTATAGAGGCAATCGGGGAAATTCGCCCTGTAGCAATATTAGCGCATGAATCACTAATTGATGAAGTGTTGACATACCAGAAATCACCATCGAATGCGCAATAATCAGGCACCATCCAGTCAGCGGAGGGCATCTCGGCATTGAGCTGTGTAGGCGATGTTTCCATTCCAAGTGGATTTAGCGGTTGTAATAGCATATCCACAACAGACTGGAGAGAGCGCTTGGCCTGGGAAAACAGTTTGAAATTACCGTCACTGGGGCTATGCAAAATATCCATGTGCACAATCAGAACGGACAGATTCTCGATTACCCGTCGTCGAGACGACGGGTCTAGTTCCTTGAACCGACATCGAGACGATGGCTGTAGAAGATATAGTGCAAGGGCCCCGGCGGCAGGGAGAGCGCACGATGCCACCTATATATATAGTCAGCCCAACATAATTTGACAAGTTTCGCAGGGTACGTACTCTCCAGGCTAGAGATATAAAGCCAAGGTTCGGTAGCTGTTCCCGTCGGACCAAGGCATCGTTAACCGAGGAAATTAGTTCCATTGCGGAGCGAAATAAACTTGAGTGTTCGAGTCCATGTCGCCATGCAGCCCATTCGATCAAAAATGAAGACTGTAGATATAAAATCCGGGTCATATGTAAGCACTCCATTTCCATGCGCGGTCTTTGGATATCCCAGAGTTCGTGAGATGGCACCCTCAGAAAGGACGGTAGGTTCTCCCATGCCTTGTTGAGTTCATGGTGCAAGTCACTGTGAACGATCAGCTAATCAGTTGCACGAACTGAGACGAGTCACGCACATTATTCGCCGTTGCATATCATATATATTCCTGCCCAGAAGCAATTCCAACGTCTCTTCTCGAATCATTGCCGTAATCGTTGACCATCGCATAACAGCGCTCGGTCGGATGTGACCCTGCGAATTCCAGCCGGCGTGATCAATATCTTCCAGCTCTCTACTGAGAGCAGTCTCCGACAGGGAATAACACTTCTCGTCAATATCAAGGGGCAAGTTGATACAGCAAAATTTCTTGCTCATGCGCGGTGGTCGCCCGAGAAATGTCGCTAGGCTGATATCGATACTGTATAAGCGGGAAAAAATACGTTTTCTTAGTTCAACCAGAAAGAAGGGAACATCGCGCGCTTCTTGGATGCTCTCGTGGAGTCCAGCGGCAAGTAGAGCACAGGCTGCGTCGTTGAGCCGGCGCCACGTTTTAAGACCTGCCCATCTGTCACTTTGAGTCACACGCGAAAGGAGATTAAGAGTTTGTAGCGTACTTTGGTCACCATAAAAAACAGACTGCACCTGGAACGTCTGATACAGAAAGAGAATATGAACGTCATTGAGAACCTCCAATGCCTCGCAAAAGATTGCGCATTTATTTCCAAATTGAATCAGGTTCATTCTTAGGGTCTGCCGTTCTGGTTCTGTCCGGTACAGAGCATATGGTGCACGAAACTCAGTTGCGGCAATACTATGTCCCTTGTTAGTTCCCTTATCTCTAGAACAGTAGTTTCCGGGATTTCCCCCTACCCAACAAGTGTAAGGATTGCTCCCATTGTCTCCCAGCGGAGATTCGGACCCGTATACTGGTCGATGAGGCCTTGCAGCGTCATCAAACGATGTATTTCCACAGGGCGGCTGCTATTTTCAAACAAACGCTGTGACAAAGCTAATAAATCGGATCGGAAATTTTTAGAATGCTGTAGGGTGACAATTTCCTCAATGACTGCATCGGCGAATGGCTGAATGAGGATCGCGCCGACATGCGACTCGAGTCCGTTCCCCTTCCAGTCCGAGAAAAAGTGCATAACGGTGTTATTTATCTTGGAGCTGGTCAGTGTTTCTAGCAGCTGTGCGCCCTCGACGGTCGAAGCGTTGTTCATGAAACGAGTAGAGTAAGCTGGCCCCTCATCATCCCGCCCGACCGGAAGCAAGGTCGAGGCAGCTTCCAGATCCCCAAACAACATGGTTTGCTCGCGTACATTGCCTAAGAGTGAGTCTAGAGAAGAAGAGCCTTGATACCCCGTATTGGGGTGTGTATTTGGTGGCAGAGTTGGCTGGATGGCTTCTAGGATGGATGTAGAATTAAAAGCCAGCTGATGTCTGGAATGATCGTCAGGACGCAATTTATAACATAGAGGCCGATTAAATGAATCACGCACTGCATTCCCGGAGATTGGGGTGTAAAGGAGGGTCGACTCCGCTTGAACGCATTCTTCCTGTAGACGCACTCATGGGGGATATCTCGCCCGACACACCGAGCGCAAGGTTGGCGATGATCGCAGGCTAGTTTAGAGAGTCGACAGGGCTCACAGGATGCGACTCTTGGTGGCCGCTGTGCTCGCGTACTCTTTGAACGACCAGACATATTCACCACACGCACACGTGGAAGACTGGAAGATGGGGGCGGCGGACGAGAAGCGGGGGCGTTCCCCTTATCAGCTGAGTCGATGTTTTTGTTTTCTAAGAGTGAAAGGAGACAAGACATTTATTTGTTCAGGATTCGATAATTTCAAGCTATGATATTTTCTTCAATGCAGGCAACGGGCCATCCCAAGTTGGTTGTGTCCTCCCCTCCCAATAACTCTCCACCGGTCGTGAGCCTATCTCACTCTGTATTTGAGCCGACACAATCTCATTTTGCCCCCAAACGCGTAGAATATTTAATCCCACTAGTTTTCGCACCTGCTCGTCGGTTGCACCGCGTCGCATGACAGCTTCAATGAGTCTCGGGTATGCCGAGACATCCTCGATCCCACTAGCAACAGCAGGTGTCCCATCGAAATCGCTGCCTGGGTCAATTTAGTATGTGTTATTCCGACAATCACAGCGAACCACTCACCAATTCCAACATGGTCCCAGCCGGCGATGGAGGCAGCATGGAATATGTGATCGACCACGTCTTCCAAACTGGCCTTGTCCGGGTTGTCAGGTCGAATGAACTTGTTCGCAAAAAAGATCATGATTAGGCCACCATTTTGGCGGAGCATCCGAAGGACGTCATCGGGGGTATTTCTCAGACGCTTTGCGAGCGCATAACACGCCGAATGGGAAAATATCACTGGTGCCCGAGTCGCAGCTATAGCATCTCGCATTGTTCGGTGAGACGTGTGGGAGAGGTCTATCATCATCCCTAGGCGATTCATTTCGCGTATCGCGGCACGTCCAAAGTCACTCAGTCCATTATCCTTGCCTGTTTCCGTTACTGTGCTGGCCGCAGTAGCAAATGCATTGTCACAGTTGTGGGTTAGAGTGATATAGCGCACCCCGAGCTCGTACATTTGCCGGATCACGGCAAGGGATGAACCGATCTGATGGAGTCCTTCAGCACCGAGCATGGAAGATATTCTCTTTGATTTGAAGGCTTGTCGAGCACATGCTGCTGTGTCGCAGTACTGCAGCTCGCTATATTCCGCTATCAAGCGCTTTGCCACATCAATCTGCTCAAGGGTATCACGAACACTATGCTATAAATTGGAGTTGTCAACATCGCTCTTAAGCGGGAAAGGGCCAGATTTGCAATTACATTTGGATCGTCAAGGTGAAGTATTCGGGGACACTGGTTTCGATGTCAGTCACATGTAATGCTGCATGCTCAATAGTCAGGGACCTCACCTCTACAAAGACCGACCAAAACTGCCCACCCACTTTGCCCTGCTTCATCCGCTTAAGATCTGTATGAGATGCAAGTCCTTAATACAGCCAATATTAATTAGTCCTTGATCAAACGATTGGCAAACGAATAGAAACTATACCCTGATCAAATGGAAGATTGTCCCCATAAATCTGATTGTTGAGCTGCAGTCGAACAAGGAATGGAAGATCGTTATGTCCATCTATGAGAGGTATTTCCGATAATACTCTGGTCGTTCGAGCCGCAAAGTTCAATGGATCGATATCTTGAGGGTGCACTAGGTCTCTTGCTCTTATCGCAACCCAGAGCGCTATAGAGATGGAACCAATCGCAACAAGCTTGAGAGGATTCCATGATTTCCCTCTTTGTGCGTTGAAAACAATTACCCGACTATGATTCTCATTATCACTCGTGGTACCCTCGCACAATGATGACCCCGTTGGCCATTGTGGCTCAATTGCATCCAAGCGATTCATAGAGGCGGAAAAGGGAAAGAGATGGCCGCGCCAAGGGAGATTCAGGTATCATCCGTATTGTTTGATAAGAGAGAAAGACTAAATCATTAATCTGTCGAAGCGATACATTTTTCAAATGTCCGAGAGGTTCCATGCTGTCGGACAGAGTCAGGAGCGTTACACCGGTGACACATATCTTGCTATCATGAAGATTCGCACGATTACCACGAGGCAAATGCGGATGCAACGCAGACAGATAATCCAATGGACATTCTTTGACTTATTTGACCAATTGGCTTGCTTTCTCGTTATTGCTGAGGGAAATCCCGCGTGAGGGGCATTCGGAGAGAGCACGGAGAGAGCAACAACATTCTCCGAGCGGGGCCGCCAGAGACGTTTGGCGTTGCGACGTTCACTATCAAGCAAACCCCATATTTACCGATTAAAGTTCAGGGCCATGCATAAAACTGACGATGTAGCGCGCTCGAGATCGAATCATGCACACGGTCAGACCTCAAAAACATCATGATTTCACTTCTTGCAAAACAAGTCACCCTGGCACTGGTCTGGGGTGCTGCCAACGCCCTTCCAAGCTCCAATGCAAGCCCTATTCTCGACACCCGCTCCGTGCAGCCTGCCTACGTAAGTGTGGCAGTGACAACATTGTGGACCGACCCCAGCAAGCCGCGCGCAATCGATGAGCCGGCACTGACAAACCCGGTGCAAATGGACAAATGGCTTTCTATGAACGTGTCCGACTACAGCGACCTCACCACTAATAGCCGGACTCAGACGCAAGCCCTCTTTGGTGCACGAGTGGACATCATCGGCCATGAGAATGGTTGGTACGAGGTGGCCCTCCCCGGACAGGCGACCCCAAAGAACGCCCTGGGATATCCCGGCTGGGTACCTGCTGCGCAGGTATCGTTTGACCAGGAATACGGACGACTGCTCTCGGAGAAGCCTTTCGCAAAAGTCGAAAAGGCTGCCACGGTTCCGCTCTACCGCGATCATAGCCTGAAGTCGAAGCTCATGGAAGTCACCTACGACACAAGACTCCCCGTCCTGCGGGAGACAAAGTCAGCCATTGAAGTCGCAACTCCCGGTGGTGGCTCGGCTTACTTGTCCACCCATGATGCTTCCGTCTACAAGTCTGCCTCGGATATTCCCTACCCCACGAGCCTTGACCTGATCAACACAGCGAAACTGTTCCTTGGCCTTCCTTATCTCTGGGGCGGTATGTCAGGATACGCCGTCGACTGCTCGGGATTCACGCACACCCTCTACCATTCGCATGGCATTGATATTGCTCGTGACGCTGACGCTCAAGCCGACTTCACTGGTCATGGCACCCCTGTCGCGCAGGCGGATTTGCAACCCGCGGATCTCATGTTCTACGCGAGCAACCTCAGTGATGCAAGCACGATTTATCACGTTGCGATGTATATCGGAAATGGAGAAATGGTCGAGGCATATGATTCTGGCACTCCAGTGAGAATCACGCCTGCTCGCTTCACCGACGAGTACTGGGGAGCAGAGCGGTTCTTGAAGCACCGAAAGATCTGAAAAGATTTTGCAGATGCTTGCAAAGTGTTTATTTTATGCATCAGATGTAATTCGTTACCAAGCATTCATTGTTATAGATAGGGGATTGATACAACCACCCCCCCTTGGATATGACAACCCCCCCCTGCCGGATTTTTTGGGGTCTGACTTATCGCCTTCCTTACCGCTTTTCTATCAATTTCCTACCTAATATAGCGGCACGTATGGTACTTACCTCTACTATATAAACCCCTTACAAAAGTAAGTCACTCTTGTAGCCTCATATTTTACATAATATTGTCAAATGAAAAAGAAATTCTTTGTGTTTGCATGGCCGTAGGTATAGCCGTAGGTGTGGCCGTGGCTGTGGGAATACCGAGGCTGTCAACACTGAGGCTATTAATACTAAGTAGCCTAGATATAGACGTAGTCAAAGCTAGGCATAGGAGGCCGAACGAATGGGAATTATGTATGAATATGAATTAGTTCAAATGGGCATTTTTTTCTACTAAGAAAAGTACATTCTTTACTATGTAAACTGGAATTTAAAAGCATAGAACAAAGTGCGGCAGAAAAAATTAATACCTAACGTATAAGGCATAATCGGGCAAAATCAGGCAGGGGGGGTGGTCATATCCAAAGGGGGGGTGGTTGTATCAATCCCCTATAGATATGTTATGTACTTTTTGATATCGAGTGTTTCAATAAGAATTCGAATTTGTATATATTGGACTTGGATAGTTGCGATACAGTGTATAAATGTAGCCAGCCACTACAGATTGAAAAATTCGAGACTGAAGGGATGTCAGAAAATCTTCCTTATATGGATATTCTAAAGTAGCGCAATCCCCGGAGCCAACCACGGGTGAAAGATGAGATTATGTAATTGAGATGAGTCACGCCAAATATGATACAAGAATGGTGATACAAGAATGTCTAATGATGTTCCCCCAAAAAAGAAAAGATCTATCGATGGTGTACATATGCAAAGTCGTGCCGTAACCTAAGCGCCAGTGACCCGGAGCACAAATTCATATACGCCAAGCGTAATGATAGCTGAGGGTAAAGAACGGAGCATGTGAGGAGCCAGACCTCCGTACAAGCCCGCCATACCTTCTTCTTTAGCGATGGTACTGAAGCATTGTACCAGCCCTGTGTATTTGGCCTGGCCATGCTCCACAGGTGCCTGACGCAATCGTGTTCGGATAACCTAAGAATTGAGTTAGCGTGAGACTAGGATAATTGCCGCGGAGGGGAATACGTACTTCATGAGGATATGTGATGAGACCTGCCACGAGCTTAGCGGAAGACGCGGCACCACTAGTACTAACCCAATGGAACACTTCGTTCCAGAAGGGAGTCCTTGGCCCCTCGGTAGCTTCTAATGACCGATTGAGCCTAGTTTTCAACTGTTCATAGAGCACCAGATGTAGAGCCGTTTCAATCGAGCCGAGGTAGCTTGCGCTCAATCCTCTATAAAAGCCACCCAGTCCCTCATTTCGCATGACTTGCCTGATGCAATCAACGCTATTGCGATATCGACGAGTCGAAGGACCACCGGTGTGTGTTTGTGTTTTGTCAAGTTGTAGCCGTGTTTTGACAAGCCATATTGGATTCGTTGCTGTTGAGGTTGCGAGTCCGGCGCAGATTGCAGCTTGGGCATGGACGATAGCAGAGTCTTCCGTGTGTCCCATGAGTTGAGCTCCAACACGCTTGCAATTGCCGTATACGTAGAACTTGATCGCGGTCGCCGGGACTACACCGGCCATGCTTGGCCCGAGGCCTCGAAAGAAGGCTCGCCAGCCTTCGGCACGATAAATGGAATTGATAATCCGTAGCGTTTTATGACTTGATCGTTGTGAGGTTTGAGGAAGGGAGGCGTCGGAGCCTTTTTGTGGTTGATAAAAGTCGGACTGAAGACGTGTTCGTAAGACATCAAGAGGCGAAGTCACTATCGCGGTAGCCATTCCACCGCTCCTATGATTATGTTAGAAGAATCAACATAATACCAGCTGGAAAATACATACGCGCCCGCAAGAAGGTGCACCCAAGAACTAACAGCCTTCTTGGTCGGCATCTCAACAGGAATACCCTCTTCTCCTCCATCTGAAGGAGCATACTGAGTTTGAGTATTTCCCCCCATATTTGCGTCGTACCTTGATGAAGAGTGAGATCGCGAAGGGCGAGTCCCGACACTTTTTTTCGGCGATATGAATTTCCGTGATCCACGTCGCCAGATCACGTGTATAGTCATATTATCACGTGCACCATCTATCACTTTAATCCAGAGCAATGGAAATATCAACATATTACGAAGGCTGGAAGACAAAAGCAATTGAAACAGCCGATTTTCACTGTAGTTATATATATATGATTGGCACATAAAGTACGGAGTACTCTTTGCATAGTTATTATGATTGTTTGCCTTGGTGCCTGAACCGCCAGGTCATCTGACCGCCCTGGCACGGTATGTATGGCCTACGGTGCCTTTTTTTTCTCTCTTATTCACAATTCTCATCGCACTAAGGCCAATGTACATAAACCAGTGCCAAGATGATTGCCTCGTGACCTCAGAAAAGACGGAGAATTATCATTTCCTGTACAGAATGTCATCGGCGCAAGCAAAAAGTATGGGCAACACGAAAGCGCATGAACAAGGAAAAGAAAGCTACTAAAGATTGAATAGTGTGACCGCCAGTATCCATGCTGCAACTGCAGCAAGCGAGGAACGCAGGTATTTATACTTATAATAGAGGCAATACTGCTTTTGGTCTGATTGGCGACTGCAGGATCTTTGCCATTATGACGCTTTACCAAAGAACTGCCAACCCACCCAAGGCAGTTCTGGGGTGAATAGCCCCTTGGAAATCACCACCAATAGCAAGGCGGTGTATTTTTACCCACCTGCTAGACCGGGCTCCGAGCGGGCTAGCGAGTCTGAGGACAAGATCAGAAATTTTGGATATTCCAGCTACGGCAATCACAACTCCATGAGCTTATTACGGACCGTAGAGCTTTATGGAGGCCGGGACAAAGGCTTACTGAGCCCCTCTCCTACAAACCAGTCACCTTTATCAAGCGAGGCAGATCGCAAGTACAGGGAATTAGTCCGTCAGCTGCCCTCGCAGCCCTGCATCGACATCTTGGTTCAAACGTTTTTCTCCGACATCAATTGGCAGTATGACCTACTAGACGAGGAATCCTTTAAAGAAGATTTAGATGCATGGGGAAAGATCTCATACTCTGACCTTCAAGCAGGCTTCGGAAGATTGGCGCTGGGAACCATTGTGTTTCCAGCGTTACTATTTCAAGTCCTCGCACAAGCACTTCTTTTTCACTCTCCTGATGATGACATGATCAATTCGCTCATCACCATGGCTGAAATGACCTTCTATGATCTTGGGGCCGAATATAGTGATACGGGTGTTGAGTTACTCGCGGTTCTGGGAAAAGAGGACATCACGATCGCCACGGTCCAAGCAGGTATGCTACGTGCCTCGTTTCTGAAAAGTAGTGGCAAAGTTGTTGAATCCTGGCATGTACTTGGGACAACAATCCGTGATGCACAGGAAATTGGCCTGCATACTGGACAAATTATGTGTGGACAATTTCCAGTTGGGCCCGGGCGCGAGAGACAAAACATCAGTCTCGTTGGTCACAGAGTTTGGGTGGTCTTGCATATTTGGGACATCCATATGGCTGTTGTTCTCGGTCGACCGATTGCTACCGATCTACAGATAGATCGCTTCGCTTGCACTATAGAAGAAGACGAAACGCGGCGAGAACTATTCTCGCATTGGCAAACCGAGACTAATCCCCCTCGACCATTTGACGTCATCCTCGCCGGCTTTAATGTAGCCTGTCGATATTTCAAGGACATTCACAAATTGGAACATCACAGTGCTGGCCCTCAAGATTATCCTACGGTCGAACATATTCACGGTGCAATCAAGAGAAACTCAGAAATGTTACCCTCTTGGTGCCGTCTTGAACACCCAGATACAAAATTTGATCGAATACAAGGGTGTCAATGGTTACCTCTTGCCCGGGAAGGACTGTACTCACTCATTCACCTTGTTCTTCTCGCACTTCATCGACCATACGTATTCTCTGTTGCCAACAGTCGCACGGAAGCGCTCAAAGCTGGAATATTCATTCTTCGTGCACAGGAACGACTATTCCAGCAATCCCAGCCGCACCATTGCAAGGTGTTCAATCCGGTCTACGCTTCTTTTGATGCAATTGTTCTCCTTGCAGCACTCTGTCTTGTTTTTCCGAACGAGAATCAAGAACTACGAACAGACTGTATTGACGTTGTTGAAAGAGGGATGCAAAGACTGGGAATCATTGGTCAATTGAATTCCATGGCAAAGTCAGCACATGGTGTTGTCTGCAGCTTGTACCGTCGCCTAACGCATCGGTTAAACCTCCCCGGGGACGTTGAGCGCGCTGGAGCATTTTCCAACAACCCAGAATGGATCTCTCCCAACAGCGATACATTTGTCTATAACGGGGCACTGTCAGAACTCTCTTTTGATGCTGTTTTACCTCCGCGTCCAACCCATGACCTGTTCTTCAATCATATTTCAAGTACACAAATTCCTGTAATGGCGACACCGGAAAGTTTACCCTTTGACCCGCTTAGTGTGAGCATTACAGATAGTTGGAATTTTGAAGGCGTCTTCTCAGATGCCAGCTTTTGGAGTCGGATGAACCAGCCTAATCATTGAAAATGTACCTATCGCCAATTGCATTCTATTCAACCCCCGCAAACCAGACCGCAATGTCCCCCACATTGCGATCGACACAATCCAGCTGGTCATAGTACTGGAAGTGGGAACCTCGTTGTTTCAGATCAACTTCTTTTGACTTGTGGGGATGGACTCATACTGGCGCTTAGCAGCAGCCGCATTCAGACAGTTGTCGCCGTGGATGAGCAGCGCCGGCTTGTCCAGCTTCGCCACGCCAGGAACGATGGTATAGCTAAAGGGCTTGCTGAGCTTTCTCGGGTCGCGCTTGTACAGGGCTTCTCACTGTTCGCGGGTGGGCATTTTCCTCTCCGCTATATCGGTACCAGGCGTCCATGAAACACACCCAGCGCAAATTATGTGGATGTAGATGTAGATGTCGGTTTCATAGTCTCGGTAGTATCCCGAGACCGAAGCCACGCCCCCGGTTATCGTAGGATGCCACATCCATGGATTCGGGCCATCTTGGCAGATACTGACTAGGAAGAGCCGGGATGCATCAAGATCGCCGCGCTCCGATAGATAGTCAAGTCCTGCGACCATGTCCTCGTCTTTTATGTTGGGATTTTCCAGTCGTCAAGTTCGATAGCTATAAACCCCCTCTAATTGTTTGCATGGCAACTATGACGCATTAGATTAAATGAACATTCCAATCATATCAACGTTGCGATCTCCATTTTAGTACTCCGTACTTCTTACATTATCGCCGATAAAAGCGGGTCAAGCTGGACCCTTAACGCCGATGGACCAATCAAAGGAGAATTGAACTGTGGGGATTATGCAACAATCGATCTCCGCTGGCTACCGGATTTGGCAATGTGCGATGTACATCATACAGTGAAGCTGGGCGCAGATGGAGGGGCAAGACATATATAAGCTCAAAGGTGTCCGCTCGCTCACAGAATTTAATCTCCCACTACCTGAATTCCAATCAAACAAGCAAAAATGACACCCAAGGTCCTCGTTGTCCTCACCTCCTACGGCAAGTTCGCCGCCACAGGAGGTTCAACCGGCTGGTTTCTGGTATGCACCTCTGATTGCGGCTGCAATTGAGAAACAGCCATTCCGTTCTAAATGTTCACAAATGCTGACGATGTTTTCCAAAGGCCGAATTCGCCCACCCTTATGAGGTCCTCCGCAACAAGGTCTCCGTAACCGTCGCTTCGCCTAAGGGTGGAGAAGCACCATTGGACCCCGCCTCCGTGAAGATGGCTGAGTCGGATGACGTGTCACTGGCTTTCTTTAAGGAGCAGAAAGCCCTGTGGACGAACACGCATAAGTTGTCGGATATACTCCCGCGCGCCAGCGAGTTCGATGCTATCTTTTATGTTGGTGGTCATGGACGTATGTTTCGCACCTACATCTAATCGAAATATATATTCTAACAAAATGAAACAGCCATGTTCGACCTAACCGAAGACCCAGACTCCTTGGCCTTAATCCAAACCCTCGCGGCCGCCAACAAGCCCGTTGCAGCGGTCTGTCACGGACCCTGCGTGCTGCTAAAAGCCACCGCGCCATCAGGCGTGCCTCTCCTCTCTGGCGTGACGGTGACCGGACTCACGAATGCAGAGGAAGACGCCACAGGCCTGTCCTCGGTTATGCCGTTTATGCTGGAGACGGAGCTGGGCCGTGTCACTGGCGGCAACTATGTCAAGGCCGCCGAGATGTGGGGCGAGAGTGTTGTCACTTCTAAGGCCGCTGGAACAGGGTCGATTATTATTACTGGGCAGAACCCTGCTTCGGCGCCAGGCGTTGCGAAGGAGATATTGAAGGCCTTGGGGGTGTAAAGGAAATTTATTCAAATGTCGGTGTTACCGGAGACCCCAACGAATATGCAGAATATGAATAACCACATTTCCCTTTTTCTCTCACTTGTTCTGGATCATATGTATTCAACACGTCATGCATGTCTTATGATTTAAATTGGGTTTACAGACTCCGTAGGTGGAACAAATCAAATCTGATTTGACGTTTGATTCTTTTCATCTTTAAAACACACCTGGACACTCGATAAAAGGTGTGCATAGGAATTCATTCAGTATTCATCCAAAGCTACACATTACTCTTGTGACCTTGTTCGACATGTCGATGGTTTCTAGGGTCCCTTTTCAGCTCTCCGGCCGGTATGCCGAGCGAAACCGGTGGGAAGTTCTCAACGGCCCAGGCGACTCGCGTGTAACGGGAATTCAAATCATCCAAGATGAAGGTCTAGTTAACCAATGGGGTGACAAGGTTGTTTTGGTCACTGGCGTTTCATCTGGAATTGGTGTTGAAACTGTGCGCGTCTTGGCATCTACCGGAGCGACTATTTTGGCACAGCCCGCAATCTTGACAAGGCGAAGGAGGCCTTGAGTGATGTACTCGGCACTGGGCGTGTGAAGCTTCTTTTCATGGATAAGACAGACCTACGGAGGCCTCCAGCCGCCACGGGTGACTTAATTGCTATTGGCTAATACTGCTTTGCCGCTTTTCTCTCCGCCTTCTTTAATTGATACACGCATACTCCGTAGATGATAATTGTCAACATGAAGCAATTTAAATTGATTCTACCACCACTAATAATAGGGATAGTTTAATTCTTAAAAAGCCATTTGAATGATATAGGGGAGGAAATATCTAATTAATTAAATGCAACCGGTATTTAATTCTATTTATGGCGTATTATGTAAAGAAGTTAGGATAAAAATTCTACAATTGAAGAGCCACTAAACCACCTGGAATAATGGAGATAATCTAATTTGTATGGTACCAAAGCTTCATTTTGCCAAGGCTGGCAAATTTCAGGCATTAAGGCCTCAATCTGGCGAAATAGAATTATATCACACCTTTGCCAACAGTGTTTACCATCACACCTAGTGTCGAAAACAACCCTTTTGTACGATACTCTCTGCACAGTTAGCGAATACAAGTCATCACACGTTCTTCCCGCAAGTATCCGATTAATTGACACCATAAATCGATAGAAAAAGGCAAAAAAAAAGCATTGTCTAATTCAACAAATAATGATCCTACATTGAAGAAAAAGAAGGGACATGGTACATTCGCGCACATGGTACATCACACGCAGCCTGAGAAAATCCGTGGCAGATCAAAGTTTGCTGGAGACAAGGTAGGGAATGTTCTTGGCCTCGTATAGATCTTTGTGCTCAGACTTGATGATATCCGCGCCCTAGATTATATTATGCATTAGTCTTACTCTGGGAGCTGGCGGATCTGTGACTAACCTTCTCGCCAATCATGTAGACCGAGTTTTGAATACGGCAATCAGGGATCACGGGGATGATAGAAGCATCTGCAATTCGGAGGTTTCGAACTCCGTGGACTCGCAGTTTGGAGTCGACAACACCCTGGTGGATGCTCTTCGAGAGACGTGCGGTACCGCATGGATCTGTAAAGTAAATCATTAGACTTGTTTTGAGACATTGGAAGGGGTGATCTCACGGAATCCAGTCTGGCTGCGATCCAGAACAGCCCGGTTCATATCGTCATCGGAATCAAGTGGCATCTTCCAGGGGTACTCCGAAACAACAATGTCCTTGAATCCAGCTCCCGTGGTCAAAAGATCATATGTCCAGCGCACACCCTCCCGCATGGCCAGAATGTCTAAGTCATTGCCGAAGAAGTTGAGGTTGATATTCGGCTGTACCTGTGCGTTTGAGCTGTTTAGGGTGACTTCACCTTCAGAAAGGGGCCGCAGCAGATCAACAATGACAGTCATGTGATTTCCCTTGTCAGGCATAGGGTAATACCACTGGAATGCGCTGCTGAACAAGCCGACGAAGTCCAGCTCGAAGTGAGGTTGTCCTGCTGGCCCGAAAGGATCCAGTCCCCCGTTGGCAGCCTTAGCCTCGCGATAGACAGGGTACTTCTCCAGGCGTTCGTCAATTCGGGGGAATCCGACAAGTTCTAGGAATCCAGAGCTTGCAGGGCCAGTCTTGTCCTTCTGGTAAGTGGACAGCGCCTTATCATTGAGAGGACCGGGCCGGAGGATATGGTTATCTAAGCTGTATCCATCCTTGGTTTCAAGAACGAAAGGCACAATGGGATGGTCAAGAAGATGCTGGCCGACGTGAGGGGATTCCACAATGGGAGCGATTCCGTGTTTTGCCAGTTCCGCTGCTGGGCCGACTCCGCTAAGCATAAGAAGCTTAGGAGTCTCAAAGACACCTTAAGAGAGAATGACTTCTCGGCGGGCGTAGACGCTGATCTCGTGACCAGAAGCTTCACTTATCACAGTGACACCGGAGCAGATGCGTGTGGCAGGGTCAATGAGCAGCTTCTTCGAGTTAACGCCATAGAGGATTATCACGTTAGGCTTATTCTTCAGGTAAAGGAAGCTACCCTGGCGCTCACCCTGGTGGATGGTATCGACACAGTGGGTGAGACCTTTCATCTCGCCGGAGTAGATATCCTCGCTTAGGGGCTGGCCCTTAGAAACCCAGGCCTCAGTGAGTGCATCACGGAACGGCTTCATCTCCGGCACCAAGTCGGCATGGGAGATCTGCAGAGGGCCTCCGGTTCCAATCTTACTCAGTTCGGCCGGATACAGCTTCTCGTCGTCATGGTAGGTGGCACATTTGCGGAGGTACTCCACACAGGAATCCCAATTCCAGTCATGGCCACCGAAGGCCTCCCAGTCGTCAAAGGTAGGCTTCGAGCCCGGAATCCAGGTGAAGTAGTTGGCGGATGAACTACCACCAAGAGCCTTTCCACGAGTGTTAGGCTTTTCAACACGCTCATAATCATCGCGCTTGATCATAGTTGTCTTGTACGCCCAGTCGTACTTGCTTCCGCGAAGGGTGAAAGCTTTCGACGGGGTCGTAATTTGCTCGATCTGATCAGGGTTGGGAATGCCGGCTTCAACGACCAGAATGCGGACGTTGGGGTTCTCAGCAAGGCGACCAGCAATTGCATTGCCAGCGGTACCACCGCCGACAACGATGAAGTCGTACTCAGAGCCGTTGGAAACAAAAGCCATGGTTTGGGATTTAATAAGACTTGTGTGTGTGCGTGTGTGTGTGTTTATAGCAAAAATCAACGAGACATCGTGTGGATCTTATATTCCACTCTTCGCATGTCTCCAAATAGACCATCTTGCCGCTCTTGCCGGACAGTTGGGAACTAGAGCAACATGTTTTACGACTAGGGCAAAAGTCCTGGGTGTCCGTTTGGGGGATAGAGGGGCCATCCCACTGACAAGAGAGGCCCTTGAACCTTGACCTGGTAGGGCTGACAGAAAGGGTAAATTGAGTTGGAGGTGTTCTAGAAGGGACTTGGCTCCGAAAGTGACGTTTTCGACCCCTCATGAGGGGAAAACCCTTTCTCCGCACGAGGTTTGTCAGATTTCCAGCCAATCAGAGATTCGGGATATGTCGCTAGGAACGGCAATAACTCGGCCGGGGGTCGGTAAACTGCCTTTTGTAAAGCATCTCCACTATATTGTAGGCTTTCCAAACCCACCTGTTCACAATATTTGGTTTTGTCTCAATCCCCTCACGTTAAGATGGAATGATGGAATGATTTGGAGTGTCCCTCATGGGGGGTGCTGTCCAGGTCTTAACTCACGTTCAAGATCCAGCCCAATAAAAGCTAGGCCATTTCCTAGAATATAGAGTATTCACAACATATCATATCAATTGAATATCCCTTGTACAACCAATCCCAATGCCGAACCATTTTACCTTGGCTGAAGGTATAGTAACAAATATGCCAACTCAACGTTCCGATCCTGACACCAGACAGGTCAACCAGTTGCGGATCCATCCGTCAGCACTACGTTGCCTACCTTTGGCGGTGGTGGCCTCACAACATTGGGTGACACGCTTCTCATTGAGACACTTTCGCATTTCAACCGCGAACGTATCCCTGAAAGGTATGATATCATTCAATATAATGCTTGGAAGGAAAAGATGTCCTAACGCTAAACAGAGTCGTCCATGCTAAAGCCGCGGGTGCATGGGGAGAATTTGAGGTCACAAACAACATTTCTTCTCTCACGTCGGCCAAGTTCCTCAGTGGTGTTGGAAAGAAAACCCCCGTTCTATTCCGTCTAAGCAATACTGGCGGTGACAGGGGCAGTGCGGACACTGTTCGCGATGTGCGAGGCTTTGCTGTCAAATTCTTTACGGAGGAAGGTAATCATGATATTGTAGGGAACCACATTGTAAGTGTTCACCCTAGGCTCTTATGTTTCATGTTCTAATGTCCCCGAAGCCGGTATTCTTTGTTCGCGATCCTATCAGATTTCCTTCTCTCAACAGGAGCCATAAGAGACATCCTGCCACCAACAGGCCGGATTGGCCCATGGTGAGTGCTAATAAAAGTTAGTGCGTTGCGGATGAAGCTAATCTTTTAGTTCTGGGATTTCCACTCAAACCAACCGGAAAGTGTCCATGCTCTGATGCACCTTTTTGGCACTCGGGGTATTCCTGATTCCATCCGTCGAGTGACAGGTTTCGGTGTACATACCTTCAAGATGGTGTCAGCTGATGGTGGCTTCCGCTACTGCAAGTTCCACTTCCGACCGACTCAGAATATCACACACTTTTCTGGTCAGGAAGCTACTCGCATGGCTGGTGCAAACGCCGACTTCCACAATCAGGATTTGTGGGATGCTATTGCTCGGGGAGACTTACCGGTCTGGAAACTTTACGTGCAGGTCATAGAGCCCGAGCAGGCTGAAACCTACGGCCGTGCTCTGTTTGATATTACCAAAGTTTGGCCCCACAAGGACTTCCCCTTGATCGAAGTTGGTCAAATGACTCTCAACAGAAATGTGGGTAACTCATTATCTTAGACACGAAGCAAGTGCTAACAAGCCCCAGCCCGAGAATTATTTTGCCGAGATCGAGCAAGCCGCATTTTCGCCTTCTAACATGGTGCCTGGGATTACAATGACACCCGATCCTAGTAAGTTCACACTGATGTTGTCGCCAGAGTGGGATAAACCACTAACCATTCTTATCTATAATAGTGTTGCAGGCACGTATGTTCGCTTACCCCGACGCTCAACGATACCGTCTGGGGGTGAACTACACACAGCTTCCTCCAAACCGTGCAATATGCCCTGTATATGCGCCATTCGAGCGCGACGGCACGGGAACTATAACCCGGAACTATGGCGGTGACCCGAACTATGTACGGAGCTCACTAGGCACTGGTATTCCTAGCCAGGTTGTTCCCAACGTGCGACACGCTGAGCGCATCGCGCATAACGCTGTCCTCGGCCAGAATGAGATTCTAGTTGATGATGAGGATTTCATTCAGCCCCGAGAGCTGTGGAATAGGGTCTTTGATGAGCCCGAGAGAAGGGAGTGGGTGTCAAATGTTTCTGAGACTTTGGAAGAAGTGCCTGATCAGCTTAAGGATGCTGTCATTGCCATGTTCAGCAAGGTGGATCCTCGTATTGGCCAATTGTTAAACGATAAGGCCAAGAACAGTGCGCGTCTTTAGCTCTTTGGTTACTTTTGACACTAGATGCAATGAAACACGTTCTCTATACTCATACGACTCCTTCTTACTGTCCATTACCCGCAGGATCAGTAATAAACTACTCATTGATGTGCAAGTGGTATCACATGGTGCTTGCGCTAGGTGCGATAAGGTGTTAGAGAGGAGAACACCATGGGGTGACTACTAGAAGAAGAAAAGAAGGTTGAAGGTGCCTGCGTGCTATCTCTACCTCAGTAGTGGTTTTATGGATGGATAAAACACTCACCCATTCCTCACCCATTCCTCACCCGGGTGACACCCATCGGACTCTTGACTGAGGATAAGCCTAGTATTCTGTACGGTCAACATGTGCTGAACCAGGCAGCTCATATTCTTCTGGGGAAAAAAACTAGAACCCGAGATAATCTGTCGACCGTGTATCCGTAGATCAGAATACCCCGAGATAATCACGAGGCAGGAACCTTTCCCACCGTTTCCATCGCATTTTTTCGGGAACTGCCCGAGGGGGGAAGGTTTTCTCGTATAAATCCATAATTTGCAGTAGCCTGCCGTCATCAAACCGACGAGCTACAAACCCTAGACCGTATGGTTTACCATCTCTGTACTTCCCAAGCGGTACGGTGGCGGTCGGGGCTTCTTCAAAATTGTTAGAACTCCACTGTATTGTTCATGTTGGTACCATAGAGAAGGGGACTCACGAGCCCATGTGGCATAGATGCTCATATCCGTCCAAGCGGGAAGAACGAGGCATCCAAATTATAAGAATCTAGCGTTTCAATAATGCCTTCTTCGATGGCAATTTTCCTAGCCTCCAATAATGCATCCTGATACTCCTCCAAGGTCATTTTCTGATCAAGAGCCAATTCAAGGTAATTTTGAGCGGGGGTTTCTGATAGGTCCAGTCAGTTCTATTATTCTATCTGAGTCCAATGCTTACCATCTGAGTACGAGCTTGCAGGAAATTTCCGATTGAACTCCAAACGATCGGCTAAAGACTTAGTTTCGGTCCCCTCTAAGCCCATAACGTGCTGTGCAAACCCTGGTCCCATCTCGTAACCTATAATTGTGTTTAAAAAAGAAAGCAGGAATTTAGATCGTCGTCATCTTACGTATGATCCTCCCCATTAGCTTTGCCACATAGCCAGTAGAGAGATAGGCGCTTCGAATCTTGGCGTCCGCAACAATGGTGGCTCCCCGTCGTTCTATTTCTCGAACGACGTCGAAACCCGCCGAGAACATCTGAAATTAGGTCAGCAGACGCCATTTTTATTGGAGTATTCAGATCAAAATATTCTCTGTTCATCATCTATATCTTCTTGACTTCCCACAAATCCCGGGAGGATAGACCAAAACCACTCTTTGTCGGCCACTCCGATGCGGAAATCTGCCCAGCTAGCGTCTAAAGAATTTGTGTAATTAACGAGTAAACCTTCTGACTCAAATGTGATGGGATCTCGGTCGTCAACTCCATCGATCTCGGTTAAAAGGGCCGCAATATCCCAAGCTGACTTGGCGAGAATTCCAGGTGAGTCAAAAGTGGTCGACGACGACAGAATGCCACTTCGGGATAAAACACCGGTGGAGACCTTTAGGCCATAAAGAGCAGTGAATGATGCAGGGCAGCTGATTGATCCCTGTGTTTCTGTGCCCAGGGCTAGTGGGGCAAACCCCGCGGCTACAGCTGCCACAGATCCAGCCGACGAGCCACATGGATGCTTGAACTATCAACTAAGTTTGGTCTAAAGGATTTGGATGCCAACCTTCAAATCGTATGGTGAAAGGGTTTCGCCGCCAAGGGCTGACCAGCCCGGACTTAAAGAGTTATCCCTAGCACAAATAATTAATTCATGCTCAAGCGCAAAATATATATTCATCGGTTGAAGCTCACTTGAAGCCTTGGCCACGATGTGCGCATCCTGACTTGCAGTGGCATTTTGGAGTGCCAATGCTCCCGAGGACGTCGACATACCAAGAGACTGATCTGTGGCCATATTGCCCTTGCAGAGGCCACGTCAATAACATTGGTATTTTGAACGAGAGGGTTAAAATTCACTTTCACAATTAGGGGCACACCGTGTAAGGGACTGCGGATCAACCCCTTTCGTCGCTCTAGATCGCGCTCGTTTGCGATGCTAATAATACTTTTTACGGGTGTCAACTCCAGAATTGTATGAAGCCCAAGACCCGATCGATCATCCAATTCGATACGCCGAAGGTATTCTTTGGTGATTTGGAGTGAGTTTATGGTGTTATTGCCGAGAAGATCGGCGATATCATGTGTGGTAAGTGTCAGTAGATCCAAAGAGGTTGGAATATACAAGGGAGAATGGTTATCACGGCTCAGCCACCTAATCGCCAAAGCAACAACCACGACCCACAAGAACCAGATTGTTCTCATAGCTATCTTGGTTAGAGCTGCTACCATTGCAAGAAGGGGAAAGCAGATTGATGCTGAATATTTTGCGGGCGCAAAACAAATAAAGTGAATCAGGTTGGGGATGTAGCGGGGGTTGAAACGGCTTTCGAGGAGTGGCCTTGGCGCACGCCGCGTATTTTAAATTTGAATTACCTACTCTGTACCTAGGTACATGGACTGATACGGTGAACATGTTGCAAAAAGCGATAAGCGACTTGATTTTCCTTAGGTATCAACGTGTGCAAAGCGGTGGCGAGGATATCGCATTCATGTCATTGTCGGGTATGTGGAAGACACGCCCAAGGTCGATGCAATCAGTCGAACATTGTCGGCCATGAGAATCTGAAGACCGGCTGTTTGTTGTATCTATAGCAAATGAGCTGCAGTATCCGTTAGGCGGGATGGAAAGTTGCCTCTGAACTTACTTTAGCGTTTTCGGGGATGTTGTTTAAAGAGCCGTAAGACCCGCAGACCAGACCTGATCTTTTCACATATCCCACAAGTCTCGGGCACAGAATCAATGTCTCGGAAGCGAAGACAATGCCGGCCAAGTTCCATCGCTTCGAGAAACGGACTGCGGCCTGTAGACTACTAGCCCTCATTTCCATGTCTGACATTGGTAGCTTGCCGGCGTTGGTGATAAACAAAACAGGATATATATCTTGCTTCGTCCCCAGAAGAATACAAATCTCGGGTGAAAAAGAGGACAGTATAATGGACCTTCCACCGCTAACACGGAAAATCTGGGCGAGGATCCGATCAATGAATGTGTTGATCTCGATAGCAAGTGGTCCTACACCCGCCTCAACAGCTTCATGAAGCCTGGGATACTCTTCGTATATGTCAGTTTTGCAGTCTATAAGAGCTGAGTGCTCGTTTGGGTACCAGAATCTTACTTATCTCAATATTGAAGCTGATTGAATCTGGCAGTTTCGTAAGTAGCTCCTCTAGCGTGGTAAAAGAATCCTGCACACAATGGCCCCTTGTATTCGGCTTGAACCCTTTGTTCTTGAAGTCCACGGTGTGCTTCATTCTGTCACGAATTTGCACAGTCGCTTGCTCTTGGTCCTTTGTCAAGGAACGTGAACGGACTCTATTCCTGCCCGGCCCATCTAGCAGGCCCTGTGAGTTTGGCGTTCCGAGCACAGAGACTGGTTCGCCTCTCGGTGACTGAAGTTCGCTCGCGTACATAAACTTTAAAAGTCAGAATCAGGAAACGTCAATGTTTCGTCTTGCGAGAGACAAACCTGTTCGAAGCTTAGATCATGAATAGGAATGTCGGTTCCGGACTCGCTCAACGAGAAGTCATGATAAATGATAGGCAAAAGGTCTCTAGTAAGTTGGACATCTAGTTGTATGTTAACACAAGCAAAAGGAACAGCTTCACATCAATGCGCTATACCGAACTATTAATAGTTAGATAACGCAAGCTTGACCAGAATTTCAGGGCTTCTCACCTCAACATATGAAGCGCCCAGCCTCGCAGCAGAAAGAAATGACTGGTTTAAATCTTAGTAAGGTGAGATTTAGGGGAATAAGTGAATCATACCTCTATAGTATTCTCTCCTAGCTGAAGCTGGCTGTGATTGGCAGTGTTTTGACCAAGTCCTTTCTAGTGTTAGAAATACTGGATCTCGCGACATAAAGTGGTGATTGAATGGAGTAGATACCTCTATGACCGACAAGTTGTAGGCCTTCTACCGAGAGTTTCTGTTTCGCCAATAGGGGGAAATTCGAACCCATGAATGGCTTAGCAATGACGAAAGTGAAAGTGATAGTTCCCATAACCTCCATTGTGCCATTTTCCAGAACTGGAACAGTACGCTCTCTGACGATACTTTCACGGTTTGCTCCAAAGCAGTCTTTGTCACTCTCTAGTAAATAAACAGCACTGCCTATTAGGTCATGCGCTTCAGAGGATGAGTCTGTAGGGTAAAGCCTGAAGGCTAGGCGGGCTTCACTTGGTTTAGTAACAGGGAAGACGAACGGTTCGTTGACCATATCGCCTAATATTGGAAGTTTCACATGCTGCGGGGTACCTTCCACTGAGATTGACATGTGCATCTGAGCGAGATGTTTCCCGTTGAGTGAATTTTCTGGCGAGGAGCCTTGGAAGTTTACGGCTTTGACATTCTTGCCGTTACGCAAAACACCAAGATTGACAATAACATGATTTTTACCCAATGAAAGACATGAACCAGCTGAAGACTTGGGCTTGAGCGGCATGCTAGCAGGTCCACCAGTAAGGCGACCATTGTCCCATGCCTTTAATGTCTCGGCCAGATGGAGATGGCCCCTCAAAGCAGCATGTTCCTTAGCAGTCCAACCGTTATTATCGTACAAGTCCTGGCTGGCTCCTGCTTGCAGAAGAAGCTCGACAATGGTCTGGTGACCTTCCACGCAGGCAATAAACAATGGAGTCCAGCCATGCAGTTTGTCGGCAGTATCTATGTAGACGTTGTTGCAGTTTTCTAGCAGCACATTGACATAGTCGCTACGCCCAACCTGAGCGGCGACATAGATGGCGGACTCTCCATACAACGAGCATTCCTGGAAGTCAAAGTAGCATCTGGCGAGGAGGAACACAATTCCGTCATGCTTATATCTGATAGCGAGCTTCAACATATCATTCAGATGATTTTTCACCAGAGATTCAGTTTGAACATCTTGTCTGGATTCAATCTCAGACATCAAAGTTTTTAGAAACACTTTCGCAACACCCACATGGTTGTTGATAACTGCGTAGTGAAATGGTGTAAGTCTCTGACAGTCCGGCGTTAGAATGAGTCTTGACGAGAAACCAGGTCCCCAAACATGAGCGTAATCCACGATTGATTGACATATAAAAGCCACGCCGTGTAGTGCCCCATAATGAAGGCTAAGACGGCCAAAGGTGTCTTTCGTAGACAAAATATCTTTCTTACGAGAAGCAAGAAATTCAATCGAAGAAGCGAACAAGCTACCATGTCTCTTCTCGCCGGATTGAACGTTGTCTTTCAAGTCATCGCATGGCTGTGGAGGGCTGAGTTGCCCTTCCATGATAATGACATGGTTCAGCAAGTCGTGATCTAGCACAACACCATACCTGCTGAACTTGTGTGATAGCAGATATTGGAAGCAAATTTGAGAGTGGGAGGTTGCTGCAAGCTCCGCCAGTTCATAAAGGAAGTCCCTGGGATATTGCTCCAGTGGAGGATCGTGTAGAAAGAGGTTGAGTGGATCGGCCAAAGTTGAAGGCTCGTCACTTCTGATCGCGCGATATAGAGCTGAATATTGGGCGGCGAGGGGTGGCAGGTCATCTGATCTGACATTACTGAGCAACGTACTCATTGTGGAGGGACCGTACCCATCGGAGGAGGCCTTGACGACACTAGTCATCAGACCCTCCGATCGGCTTATGAAGTTTGCGCATTGTGTACGAAGGCCAATTTGTAATTTTGTCCACTTAGATTTCTGCTCGTGATGAAACAGACCCTTGCAACCACTCAACTTCTCGATTTTGGCGAAAAGCCTTTGGATGGCTTCTTGATTCAACCGCGAGTAATTCTGGAGCTTCTCAAAATCATCATGTAGATTTGTGACGACTTCCAGGAACCTCTTTACTTCATGAAAATTATCCTCCTCATCTCTCAAGCAGAAAAGAGTTTGGAGCAACTTCTCATACTTAATCTCAAGCCTTGCTTGTCTTGCCATGAGAAAGTTGCAGTTCTCATGGTGGAATTTGCCAATGGACTGAATGCTATCGTCCAGGAGCGCGTACACTTCTACTTTTTTGTCAGATATTATTTTGGATAGACAAAGGCAAACACGAACCTGAAAAGTCTGGTTCAACGTTTGCATCAATTGACTTCCCTACCGCCAAGTTGAATGCGCTCTTCACCGAGTCGTAGGGGACATAAAGCGATGTCCATTCTGGGACCGTGTAATGATGGAAATCCCGACTAAATCGCATGTCGAAGTTGAGGAGAGACAATAAGTTTTAGGTCAAAATGTTATATCAAGGGTACGTTTCTGAGTTAAGATGAGGCTCGCACCCTGAGTCCATGGGTTGTTTGTCCTTCGCCCGTGGGTCGGGCTCCCCTGAGCTGACTAAGGAGCGGGGAAAGCGGGGCATTCCGCGAGGGGCCGTCCCGTCCACTTCAAAGGGCGGAGCGCAATCAATGACATCTACTACCATCAAGACGCACGATTTTGACTACTTACTAGGCGTTTAAATGAAGACATGGTATCAAATCTAACCAGTTGGTCCAGATAAATGAAAATTCCAACGGGGAACACTTTACGGGAAATAATACAGCTTGACACTTCTTACTGGCAAAGCCGGATTTGGTAGCAATGACCCGACTCACGATTTACTTTTGTGTTTTTAGACTGTGGACAAATAAGGAGAGGGAAAAGATGACGGAGTCCTTGAATTAGAAGCTTTTGACCGGTGTAGAAATGGAGCCAAACATGCATACAAGCCACATCAATATCCAATCAAGACCGCTGTAGTCATTGAACATTGGAGATAACGAAATTAGCGCCCAAGGTAAAAGTCCCCCGCAGAAATTCCCACCGCTCGGCGTTGGCCTTTTTAAAGGAAATGGCCCCATATTCTCATATTTATCGATACATATCCAAAAGACATTCCACATATTCTATACTCGAGGATTTTTGATCCAGGGTTGAAAATTTACATTCCCAAATATGGATCCAATCTCATTTGGGGCGAGTGTGATCGCTATCGCGACTCTTGCCGCTCAAACTTGCTCCGCTCTCTCAGACCTAAGGGCGCTTTGTGAAAGCTTACCAGGGCGTCTTCACGCGGTCAACAATGAAGTTGCGGATCTCAACCTTGTGCTTCTCCAGGTCTCCTTGCTCATCAAAAGCCGAGAATTCTTACCCGAAACCAAGTTTTCAGCTATCCCACATCTTTTGCAGCAAGCGAATAAAAAACTACTTGAGATCAAAGACATTGTTAGTCAGCTCACCGTGGCCTGTCGCTCTTCGAGAATGTCGATTTCCAGGGTACATGCTTGGCGAAAAGAACAAAGTCGACTGCAAGTTCTTCAAGACGATATTAGGACGGTCAAGGCCAATTCAAATGTTATGCTTGGGGCCTCAAACTCGTACGTCCCGAGTTAGATTCCAAGTATTTTAATGCGAGACTTTGAAGTTTGTTAACTTTAGAGCAGGCAAGATATGACAAAGATACGTTTGGACATCGAGGCCATCTCGGCTGTCACATTTGAATCTTCGCAACAGCAGATTTCCCTAGAAACCAACTTTCTAAGTGGACTTGCTGCTGTCGACCAGCGTATAGCCAGAGTTGAGGAGATGCTATTGACTCAGTCGCATCAAGTTCAAGCAAGTCAATTTACCCAAGTTGGATCATCGTACCACATGTCCACCACTCGAATGCAGCGTCCATACTCAGTGAAAAAGGAGACACCCCTGGCGACAACGAGCTCTGAAGGGATAGGCATTCGTGTCACTCCATTTTCCGTCAATTGCCGGTCGGGCTGTCCATGTGCTTGTCATTCGCACCAGAAGGCGACAAGTCCCGCACTTGCCAACCGTATCTTCGGTCAGCTTTTTGTTGGCTACGCTGGACTTCCCTACTTCAGCCCAAAGTGTAATACACACGCATGCAACAAATCAAGGGCACGTCAAGTTAGTCTTGAATACTGGTTTCCCTTCACATCGTTGTCATCTGCAATTGTGCGACTCCAAATTGGTTACCAGCCCAACGTTGGGACACTACTACATCTCGATACACTACGGAGGGTACCCGACACCGCACAATGCGTTAGCTTTGCATTGAACGGAAACATCGACGGCCTAAAATATCTCTTTAGCAAAGGATTGGCTTCTCCACGTGATGTCAGTACCTCTCGCGGGTATTCGGTTCTTCGGTGGGCCCTATATGGAAAACAGTATGAAACATGTGAATTTTTGATCCATGCGGGCGCAGACCCGGACTACAGACCGATCTCTGGCAGTGACAATAACCCAAGGAATAAAGCATGTCATTTCATTCTCGAAGGTGGACTTTCTGAGACCGCTGTTGGTGCACTCCGCATCATCGCCAAAAATGACTATCTTGATGATTTCATAGATGAGGCAAGGTTTACAAAGACTCATAAGACTGTCCTCGGCCTGTCAATGTTGAGTCTCGAAGACGAGATTACCCACAGGCCGGAGGATATCAATGCCGTTGATGCCATGGGTCGCACTGCACTGGCCTGGGCAGCCGCCCGAGGGGATACGCGAGCTATTGTCACACTCCTTAGTCACGGCGCCAATCCAAACATCGTCGATGTTCAATTATCCGGTCCTCTGTCAAATGCTGCTTCCCAGGGTCATACTGTTGCCGTTCGTCTACTTCTAGAGGCGGGAGCACAACCAGATTTATGTCATCCTAGTGGTGAAAGGAAAGGCAGTCCACTGAATTGCGCTACCCGAAACGCTACCGATATTTTGCTTCTGAAATCTCTGCTCGATTTTGGCGCAGATGTGAATGCCAGTGGAAATGATGGCAAGACCGGACTTATTCATGCGGCAAGAATTGACAATGCTGGTTTTGCTATGCTATTATTGGAATATGGTGCCAACATCAACTCGGTATCAGCCGACGGATCAACTCCTTTGACCACCGCAATTATCTACAACAGTCATAATGTTCTACGATTGTTCCTTGATCGATGGCATGAGTATTCGATCTGCCCCCGTATGAAGGGCCCCAACCTTCTCCAGGTCGCGGCACTATATGCTGATCCTGCTACGCTCCAAATTTTGGCGGCGACAGATCATTTCAGAAGGAAATACGACAAACAATACACTATTGGGGACTTCCGAAATTACCTGAAGCAGCGTCCAGATTTTACCGAAAAGTTAGCATTGGCATTTGATGAACTACTAAGTGTTGTTAACCAGGTGCCAGAATTTGTTGCTGACTCTGGATTTATTTCTTGGTGTCTATCTCGATCTAATTCAGGCTTCGACGAATTACAGGAGCCTGGGAGCGCTTGCAGCTCTGATGGGAGCTTCCATGACGCCATTGAAAAACATCCACTGATCACAGAAAGTTTCATTGCCATAGAATAAGTCTTCTGCGTTTTCTCAATGAGAGTTTTCAATGCAAGTTAATACAAATGGAAGGCCCCTTAAGGCTGGTAGCCCGGGTCCGTACTATTCTTGATTTTGAGTAACTAGTGAAGAAGGGGAGGAGATGACAGTTCACCCAACCTCTGTGCCATTTTTTCACCCAACCCGTGGCCCACATAAATCACGTGACTGATGGCCTATCTTATCTCCACAGCTTGGGTCAACTTCTGTAATTTGGTCTCACCAATACCTCACCAATACCAACTTTCCACTAATCATTTCTCGTCAATACCTCTCATCAACCACCGAGTCGAATCAGGAAGGGATAACACCTTAATAAGATCTTAATGTAAATTAAGCCTCCGGTAACTAGTTATTTATGATGTGTATTCTCAAGACCATTAAGTAATCACTGATAAGCAAGTTCACCCAACCGGTGGATATTTCACGTGATTCAAGTGGGCCACCGGTTGGGTGAAAAAATGGCACACAGGTTGGGTGAACTGCCCCCCCCTGCAGAGGACTCTGGGCGTTATGCCCCTTCATAATACTCTCAGAAGCAAGTAGCACAATGAAATTTCTAGACTAGTCAAAACTAGTCTCTTGTCTGCATGCCTGTTTATAATTAGCAGACTGGCCTGGATTAGCGCGAGTCACTTCAAAATCTTGACGAACATGTACAACGCTCAAGGGCGACATTGGCACCTCATCATTTGTGGATGGCTCGACCTCTCCCACAGACCATGATAGATCTTGGCTATACCCCTCTTTTGACTTCTTCAGAATGGGATCGTTTGTATCATTGTAAGCAGCCCTTGCAGATGAGCTCTGATTCTGGGAGGTGACGAAGAGCTGCCGGAGAGAGGCGACACAGGAGACAATAATAGCTGCCAAGTGAAGATGAGTATTAGAACAACAATGTGATGAAAACTTGAGAGAACATACCAACATCAACCTCAACAAAGCTCCAGAAGCACAGCCAGTCGATATTCATCTGACGGTCATATGTCATCTCGACCGCCACCCGGATTACAGCGGTGACCATAATGAAGATAGTTGCCGAGAAAATGCTGAGTAGAATGAGCTTTTTGCGGAGCGAGATTCGTGTTCTCCATAACACAAGGAAGGGAATAGAGAGAACTAAGACGAGGAATTTTGTTAGTTTGAAATAACTGGCTTAATGCTTCGGTGTCTTTGCAATCAACCCACTCATCAAGTCCGTGATAATATCCCCAGCACAGTTCGCCCAGAACATGCGATTCTCGTAATGAACGTGGTTAGGTTGAGGACATTCAGCTGCGTGGTTCTGTGTTAGTGTAAATTAATTGCATTTAAGTTCGGTTGTTCTCACTGATAATATATTCCAGTCCTCCGAAACTGCATTTGTATTCGATATCGGCCACCGATGCAATATAGACACTCGCTGTGCAGAAAAGAACCACGAACCACCAGATACGGAGAAGCTTGACCTTGGCACTGATTCGGTAGAAGAGTGCCATGAATGAGAATTTGACACACCACAGCGCCGAATAGAATAGTATCTCAAATGGAGCATTAAAGCGCATGAATTTATTGTACCTCGGCAGGAATTCAAGATTGAATGCCTCTGTGCCAGCGCTGACTGCGTATAACTCGTAAAGAACCTTTCCCTCAACTTGCCAAATAACCGCAGCTGTAAGTATAATGACCCATGCGAGGACAACCAGGAAGTCATCTAGAAATAGTCGACGGAAAGAGGTGACTTGAGCATAGATGCGGAATACGACAAAAATAAACGATGTGCCTGTGAGAGCCCATAGTACACCCTAATATTAAAAGGTTAGTCAGGTATACGAAAGCAATATTGTCATTACGTTGAATACCCACTAAAAAGACTGCCTCGGGAACTCTGCTGTGCTGGTCATCAAACTCTGCCATTATGAAGGTTCAGTATGAAAGTTCTGGATAGATCTGTCAAACAATAATATGACAAGACGTGAGAAATATATCAACCATGGAACTATATCGCCAAGAGATCAGATATATTATTCTTTGTTGATCTCTCGCCAGTGTTGATTTGGTCATCCTGGACATAATTTTCGACCAGCTTAGTTCTATTGGCGCGAGTAAGAAAAAGCATCGGCTAAGTTCTTTGAGGATATCAAGTCAGATGCCTTGCGCCATCTGCATTCTACTTGAAATGAGAGTGCCGGGGCTTCAATATTAACGCCACTATCGTTAATACCATGAACCCTGGCGAACAATCATGGTCGTGCAGCTTGAATGTGATACCGAAAGACTCAAAATCCTATGATAGCTTCATGAGTGAGTAGTCCGTTCCGCTGGAACAATTATCAGTATGGTTCACATAGGAGGGAGATAAGTATCTTGGCCCCCACTTGATCTGTTTAAGCATGGTGCAGCCATTCATCCGATCTAGGAGGCAGCCCACTTCGTATGAGCGCAGTGGCTTAATCAAAACGGACATGTTCGGAAAGGCATACTCACGATGATTACACAACTAACCGAAAGGTCAAGGGTGTCAAAGAAGTGACATCCCTACTGAGTCTCTCGATATCTCCGGGAGACAAAGAACGCAAATTCCCATCGAGCTCGGACCCCGACAAAATGATCTTCGTCATTGATAAAATTCGGATACTTTGGGAAGCCAAATTACTCCATGCTTTCATTGGTCAAGTTTACTCTATGTCCACGAGCGTTGTGATCGCCCACTCTTTCAGGTAATGGCGCCTCAATTTCGCCTTGCATATCGCCGTTGTTAAGTGGCGTACATCGGCTTTATGACAGGCTCCAAATTTGTTTCTGTAAGATTTTGCTATGCGATATTGCCAAAAGACCACTCGGAGTTTGCTTCCGGGAGGGGCGCCTACGAGGCGCCATCAAAAGTAGCAGTAAATAAAATATCAATTGATCTCAACAGCGATTTGCAGGATCTCGCCTAATTGCCACGGGTATAGGATACTAAATAAATATCGCTAGTCAGATCTAAAGGACCTAGGTTGATACTAGATTAGATGTTGTCCGGCTATCACACCATGGGTTGCTTTAATCAGAATCTCAAGGGATACCATCAAACTCCAATTTGGCACACTTATTCGGCATTAATACTGAAGGTGCTCGGGTCGAAATAGAAAGAGTTCCAAGCAGGATAAGGGCATGGGGTATGGGCATCGGCAGCTTTGAGCCGAACGGGCAGTCTTAGATCCGCATTGAGTGCGCCACAACGGAAATGCAGCAAAACCCAATGTGACAAAGAAAGTATAATGCAATCCCGAGTCCTAAATCTCCATGACATGTTCTTCGTCCTCTGATCGCCCTTTCCCCTGTATTGTGGGGATGTGGACGTTAATCTCATCGCGAGATGAGTTCTTCTTGGAGCGAAAGGAGAGGAGAAGAAGGATGAATTCTCTACTAGCAAACAAGATCTATCTGAATAGCTAGGTGAAGCCTGACAAGCCAGGCATCAGCATGTGATTGGCATGTCACTGCCATAATAGTTCTCGATTTCTTCTTAGTCCTAGCTGATATAATATTTCAAAAACATCTGTAGATCCCTATAACTGGTTAAAGATATACAACATATAAACTGGGAGATTTGACGATGTCGTCTCGAGTGATCAGCTGAAGTGGTAGAGTCAGTGTTGTCAAGGGACTGTCTGGCTACTCTTTCTCTCTCTCTCAAAATGGAGTGAGCTGGTAAACTTGAAGAAATCCTGAGACCTGAAAGAGAAAGCGGTGACGATATCCGTGGAGAACTAGAAGGTGGGGACCCATGGAATGTAAGTGGGGCGGCCCCACTTAAGCTTGGACCTCCCGAGGTCGTGATAGCCGGATATATCAGGCACCATTTTCACTTGATGTTTGCATGATTCAGGTTGTTCTCGTTCTTCTTCTCCTTTCTCTCTCTCTTCTCTGCATTTATTTGATCGTAATTCCAAGATTTACAATGCACACCGACAGAGCAATATATAGTCCCGAAGGCTCAAAAAATGCTAGACCGCCTGAACACGCAGCTACCATCCTCAGTCTACCATCCTCAGTCTACCTACCACGGCACCCTCTGCTCAGGACAAATATGCACTCATGCAAGAGTGTAAAGACATGAGAGCAAGCCACGGGCGAACACTTTAAATATGAGCATATAGTAGGCTGCAGGCCAAACTGTGCAAGATATCAGAGATTCGACTTGTGGAAGCTTCGGACAGATAGTTTGTATCCAAGTTTCAGTTATTATTCCGTTTTAAAAAAGATCGAGATGAGAAAGGACATACCGGAGTTACTATTCACATAGGTAACTCTAGGAGTAATGATGTATGGATATGATAGGAACTTAGCGAATGCGGAAACCCACTTGTCCAAGCAATGGCAAGCCATGTTTATACTGGAAGATGGCAACTAGCCTTGTATCAAAAACCATTGGCCCTCTCTAATGTTATACAAGTAGTACTTGGCGCAGAAGGAGTTCTTGGACGCGTGGACGGAGGTCTTGTGTCACCTGTCGACATTTATCTGCCCCGGTGGGTTACCTGTCAAGTCACAATGGAAGGAACGAGCTCAGAGGAAAGAGCAAAGGACTCACCTCCCAGTCAATTGCGCCATCGCACAATACAGAACCTGTCTACTCACTCTGCTTTCTCTTTCTCCTCCCTACTTTCTTCCCCATTCTTCGTTTCACCCGTTTTGTTTCCCATCTAAAGCGACACGAAAAGGATAGAACTCATCAATCTTTTATCATCATACGAGATTGCAATCATGCCTGACCTACCTCCAAAGGGTAAGGGTCTCGCGGTATCTGATCCAGAGCCGATCGATGAGAAGGTTGTCATGGATCTGGTCAAGGATGAGGCCCAAGTCAATGGCAACGAATTATTTGCTGAAAATGACCGTGGCTCTGAAGATCTTGTGATCGTCACTGGAGCTGATGTGGCTGCTCATCTTTTGCCTTTGCGTGATGACTTGGACCCTACTTTGACATTTCGCGCTGCTATCCTGGGATCCGGCCTCGCGGCCTTCCTGGCTGTCATGACCCAGATCTACAGTGTAGGCAAACTCGCATATCATCTCACTCTTCATTCCCACAACACTACTAATAAATATATTTCTAGTTCAAACCAACCCAAGTCAATGTTTCAGGTGTTTTCCTTGTTCTTGTTTCCTACTTTTTCGGTACCATCTGGGCCAGATTCCTCCCCCGCGGTGACAAATTCGAGGCGAGATGGAGGGCACGAGGTGAGCAGGGCAAACTGCCTTGGTGGATTACTGTCATCAAGTTTGTGAATCCTGGGCCGTTCGGTCTCAAGGAGCATTCGATCTGTGTGATCACTGCTACAGCAGCCGGGTACGTTACGGATGCGACGACTGTATTCGCGGCACAAAAGTTGTTCTACAATCTTCCTTTGAGTCCCGCCACTGTCATTCTCGGCATTATCTCTATCGGCCTCTTTGGCTGTGGCCTCTGTGGGTTCATGCGGCCTTTTGCTGTTTGGGATGTCGAGGCTGTCTACTGGGGTACGCTGCCTGTTGTGAAATCCATCCAAGGGCTTCACTGGGACACAGTCGAGAACTCCAAGCCACTGAAATACTTCTGGTATGCTTTCACGGGTATGTCCCTTTACGAGATATTTCCCGCATACATCTTTACATGGCTCAACTCCGTGTCCATTCCGGTATGTAATCTATCTTCTAGCAACATTACTTGGACTGTACCTGACTAGACCGCGAACGTCTAGTGTCTGGCTTCACAGAAAGCAACTGGCAAGAAGGGTGCCATACTCACCAACCTTTTCGGTGGTGCCACTTCTAACGAAGGCCTCGGTCTCTTCTCTTTGTCCTTCGACTGGCAATATGTGAGTTGGCGTATTACGCCCCAGTAATACTTTATATTAACCAATGAGGCTGGTCAATACAGATCGGGTCAATTTCAACTGCTATTCCTCTGAAGCTGATACTTCATACCACCCTGGGAGCTGGCATCAGTGCCATGATAATGATTGGCATCTATTACGGAAATGGCTGGGGCTCGAGATCACTGCCTTTTATGGCGAGTAACCTTCTTATGGCCAATGGAACAACTTATCCCGTGAAAGAGGTGTTCCCTGGTGGCTTGCTCGACAAATCAGTCATTGAAAAATATGGATTACCTCAGATCACCGGGGCCTTTGCATTTGGTCTGTTCACGGCCAATGCTGCAGTGAGTACAATTCTTCTATCCCGAACCCACATGCTAAGCGTTACCTAGATTGGTGCCCTCATTCTCCACTGTATCCTTTTCTGGGGCAAGGGCATTTGGAGGGTATGTCAACAAGCAAGGGAAGGTAAGCATAATGACCCACACCACACCTACATGGTAAAGCACTATAAGGACACTCCGTGGTGGTGCTTCGCTGGTATTCTCGTCGTCAGCTTTGTCCTTGGCCTTGTAGTGGTGATCAAAGAGAATATCACTCTTCCAGCCTGGGCATACGTTGTCTCGCTAGCACTAGGAGTTTTCATTACGCCTTTTGTGAGTATTCTCGAACACGAAATTTTACAATGATTGTTACTAATATTATGATCCAGAGCACCATTCTCTTCGCTCGCTTCGGCAACGGCATTGCCACTAACAACCTGTCGAAAATGCTGGCTGGGCTCATGCTTCCCGGACGCCCAGTCGGCAACATGTACTTCGCTGCTTGGTCGCACAATATTGTCATGTCTTCTGTCTCCGTGTCCAACGACCTAAAGTTCGGCGAATACATGAAAATACCCCCGAGGATCATGCTTTGGACCCAAATGTATGGCATCATACTTGGCGGATTCATCAACTATGCTATCTTGACTTCCGTCATTTCAGCCAACAGGGACCTTCTTGCCGAGGGTAACGGAAACTCCTCCTGGAGTGGTGCGACCATGCAAGCTTTCAACACTAAGGCAGCCTCCTGGGCCTTGGCCCCTTACTTGTACAAGCTCGGTGCCAAGTATGAGGTGATTCCCATTGCCGTAGCCATTGGTGCTGCTGCAGTAATTGTTCACCGGGTTTTCTATCAGGTCAGCAAACCTCAAGCAGTCCAAGATTGTTCAACTAGTTCATGCTGACACCATTTTACGTTAGTTCGTTCCCAAAATCGGACGGTTTGACGTTTCGGAATTGAACCTACCACAGCTCATCCAGTATGCCGGTTCTTATACATCCCAGACTCAAACCTGCACTGTTCTTAGTGGGCTACTCTGTGGCTTGTTTACCCAAGGCTACCTTCGGAACTACCACCCACGCATTTACAAAGATTACTCATACGTTATTGCTGGGGCCTTCGACGCCGGAAGTCTGTTGGTTATCTTCATTCTCTCTTTCGCCGTGTACGGAGCGGGTGGGCCATCCCATCCATTCCCAACGTGGTGGGGAAACAACCAAAACGGACACCTTGACTGGTGTCCTGTTTCGAAGAAATGACAACGGGCACAAAGCCGGTCTCGGATAATGGCGCGTGACGGTCGATCAGAGTCACGAAATGTCTTGAGCGCTTGAGCGCAAATCTTTTTTTCCGGCGCCTTCAAACATGTGTTGTCCCCCTGGAAGGTTGACGGTGACAACCTTCCGGTAATTGGATCTGTAATGGATCCTTAGTTTTTAACATAATTTTCGCAACGGTTATGAATTTAGCCTAAATGAACAATCTAATCGCTGCAATCATCTATATCGGGTCGTATATATGTAGTCTTCCTTATGGTAGACGCAGCGATATAGATGACAGGTGCTTTTTCGGGTATTATTGATGCCTGAATGCCCGATTGTTTCCTAAAAGGATTGGCAAGATATCTGAATTGCTATTAGAGAGGCCTTATATTCAAGGTACATTACCTACCTCAAAATGAAGCTTTTGACACCATACAAATTTATGTATCGCGACCTTTTAGGTGGTTTACTCGCCATATCATCACATTCTTCTTCCAAGGTTAGATGTACAGTCGGAAAAGGCGGGAAAGGTCTTAATTTGAAGGTAATTGCCAAAACGAGATAAGCATCGGCGGCCATATTTAAGCGAGGTCGAAGAACCAATTACACCATTGAAGACATTAGTCCAGATGGCGTGTCTAAATTTCCGAATGATGCAACTCGCTTGGACCCCGCCTCTAGAGCTACCCCGACATGTCTGAGTGTTATCCAACAAATGACAAGTCATTACGAAGACAATATTGAATTATTACTAACGCTAATTGTCCAATTCAGACGTTCTGCTAGAGCTAGGTCGCTTATTTTGCGATTGTCTTATTCATGCCTGCGGTCACAACATAACAACTCTTCCTAATGCATAATTGCGTGATAGTCAATGTGACAACGTCGCATGGTTATAAAAGGCTGCAGTAGACCGTTTCATGCTCCTCTTAATAACTTTCCCAAGGTTCCGCCTTTATCTCTTCCTACAATTCAAAAGATGTCGATAAATGGAATAAAAACAGCGCATATATCTGCTAGTAGTTCAGATGGCTCGGACGAAGAGTGGCAGAAGAATGGACGTAATAAGGGAGAAGGTACATTTGAGGCCAGGGAGGGTCATCACTTCTACCGGCCGATTGACAGCTATGAGGGACTGCATCGCTGGGATCCGAATTTTCAATGGACGGAACAGGAAGAGAAAAAGATTGTCAGGAAGGTCGGTTAAATTCTATACCACTAACCAATTATCAACTGACTGAATTTGGACAGATTGATGCTCGTGTCTGCACGTTTGCCTGCGTGACATTCTTTGCATTGCAGCTGGATCGAGGAAACATCGGCCAGGCACTGGCGAGTACGCTTCTGGAAGATCTTGGAATGACAAGCAACGATTACAACTTGGGTCAGACGGTTTTTCTGATCTGTTTCTTGTTGGCTGAGATGCCGTCCCAGTTGCTCTCGAAGAGAATCGGCCCGGACCGTTGGATTCCTATTCAAATTGTTGCTTGGAGTGTGGTCGCGGCTTGCCAGGCCTTTTTGAAAGGGCGTGGCTCGTATTTGGCCTGTCGAGCTCTGCTAGGGCTCCTAGAAGGCGGGTTGTGAGTATTCATCCTTCATAATCTTAACATAGGACTAAACGTGGTTTTTAGTATACCTGATACGATTCTTTTCCTGTCCTTTTTCTATAAATCTGGTGAGCTGCCGAAAAGACTGACCTGTTTCTGGATTTCCTATACCGTTGCCGGAATTATCGGCTCATTCCTAGCCTTTGGCTTCCTACACATCAAAGACGCCAACGGCGGCGGTGCCTGGAGATATTTATTCGCGTACGAGGGTCTTATCACTGGCGTGATTGGAATCATCGCTGCATTCTGGATGCCAGCGTCACCCGTACAAACCAAGGGAGGACTACGCGGCAAGGACGGGTGGTTTACAGAGCATGAAGAGAAGATCATGGTGAACCGCGTGATTCGGGACGACCCTAGCAAGGGCAGTATGCACAACCGACAAGCAGTCACCCCACGGCGCTTCTGGGAGTCGCTCAAGGATTACCACGTGTGGCCAATCTATGCTCTGGGTCTCATCTGGATGATACCCAGTACACCATCCCAAAATTACCTCACACTACAACTGCGGTCCCAGGGGTTCACGACGTTCCAGACCAACTTGTTGACAATTCCAGCAGCTGTCATTGCGATTATCACCATGATAGCAATTACCTGGGTTGCGGAGCGTACAAATCAGCGCCTTCTCTGGGGCGCGGCAGCGGAGGTCTGGAACCTGGTACTGCTCATTGCGCTGGAGTTGCTTCCTCAGAAAAGCATGCCGTGGCCTCGTTGGGTGATCCTTACACTTCTTGTCGGTGGGCCGAGTATTCATCCTGTTGTGGTCGCATTGACTTCACGGAATGCCGGATCTGTGCGGACTCGCACTGTTGCTTCTGCGTTGTATAATATGTCTGTGCAAGTGAGCAACATTGCAGGTGCCAATGTGAGTTCAATTTCTTGTTTGGGCCTAGAAATGAATTCACTATTTTAGATACTAATAATTCTGAACAGGTGTACCAAGCAAAGGATGCGCCATACTATAAAAAAGGAAATAAAGTTCTTATTGCATTGGCTGTCGCCAGTGGGTTCCTTTTCATCTTCGCCAAGTTCTACTACGATTGGCGGAATAGGTATATATTCAGAACTTGTAAATATCAATATGGATTGGATCAGCTTTGCTAACTTATAACAGTCAAAACTCTGCAAAATGGGATGCTATGACAAGCGAGCAAAGAGAGATTTACCTGCGTGAAAACCCGGTGTTGACTAACAAGAGGTACGTTGACTAGCGCTGCAGAATATAACTACTACCAGTGCTAGGAACTGACTATGGTGTATAGAATGGACTTCCGGTTTGCCCGTTAGAGCTATCTGATGGGGAATTTCGAGAAATTTGCCATATTGGACATGGGTGTTGCGATGGAATAAACAATGCAGATCGCTGTTGTTCATAGAAAATCCATTATAGTATCATGGCTTTATCAAAGAAAGGAATTCATTTACGTCACAGTTACCAAGAAATGAGATTTGACCTTGAGATAGCATGAAATAATTTAATTTGACAAGAAGTTGATATGCAGGCCTATCGCGAATAGTCCGAAATTGCACCATTGTGGCTGGAATGAGGTTGTTCGGAGAATTTGAGCACCATGCATTGATGTTACAATATGTCATCAGGGATAGGCTTGGACACGTCTTTCTTCGGAGGTTCTACGGAGTACGGAGTACTCCGTACATGATTCTACATTTCCTAATTAATTGAGGGGATTGTGTCAGGGACCCCCCTGTCTGAACATTCAGTCACCGCCTTCTTGATTGGTTGCAATACCGAATTCTGCCATAATCTCCGACACTGTATAGTTTTCTGCCGTGTATTCTGCCCACTTCTGGTTTACATCCATAGTAAAAAGACATGCATTTTCATCAGAAAAATCGTATATTCTAGCTGGCTCCTATATGACATAGCCCCTTGGTAAGAAGTCAGTTCATGCTGAAGCAGTTGATGATGACATATGAAGCAGTCCAAACTTCATATAATAAAAGTGACTTAAGTTTGCTAGGGGTTTACATACAAATTACAGGTATCTACCGTCTCATACTTTTGTATGGGGAGTTTGGCACGAAAGCGGTGTATAAAATTGTAAGGCGGTATAGAAAGCGGTAGTAGGAACTACGAGTCAAGGCAGGCACTATCCAAATTAGGAAGGCGGCGATTTAATTTTCAGGCAGAGGGGTCAGAGCTAAGGGTGGTCATATCAATCCCCTTAATTTACGACTTATTCAAAGTGGACTGAGATTTTTGAGACAAATCATGCATCATTATATGAACTCCTCATTCTCCCGGCCTATTTAAACCTCCATTCAAGAGACCCTCAAGCCTTTGATTCACTCTCTGGAACGTAAGGTGTCTCATAAGGGCGCTCAGCCTGTGGAGTAATGCGCGCCAAGTGGCGACGCTCACCAGTCGTCCAATCAACAATTGCAGAATGAGCCGTGACACGGTTCTATTTGTATGCAGACATTAGTTTTTTGAGCCGTTAATCAATAATCAAGATTTCACTCACATCCCAGACAACAACGGTCTTCGGAGCCCATCGAACACGAGCTTGATAATCAATTCCCCGACCCACATGAGCCAGCAGGAAACCTAGAAGGGCATCGCTCTCCTCCTTTTTGAGTCCGACAATACTGCGAGTGACTAGTCTTGGTGTAAGCACTAGCTTTTCTCAAAGAGCATGGGGGTATACTTACATCCACCATTGACGAAAAGCGCTTTCTCGCCAGTTACCGGATGGGTGCGAATAAGAGGATGCTCGGTCTTGACCGGGTCACGTCTATCGACTCCCCCACGCTGTAGACTAAACTCGGCCTGCTCAACCCCGGAATGCACAGCCTTCAACCCGTGCAGACGCTCCTTGAGCGCTGGCGAAAGCCGGTTATAGGCCTCGACTTGGTTGACAAAAACAGTATCCCCGCCCACTTCAGGACCATCAAGGAGGTACAAGAACGTGGTACCGGGCGGCTGCTGCTCATATGTGACATCAGAATGCCATGCGACACTGCTGTTCTTCGCCGCGAGATATTCATCGAATTCCCAGGAATTGTTGTTCCGGTGCACGAGATGAATCTCGGGATATCCCTCTCGGAGCTCCGCTAGTTGGGTGGATATGGTGGCGGCCAAAGTATCCTCCGAAATCGAGGGCCTCTTGGATGGGCAGATCGGCGAGATCTTGGTCTCTGAAGGCGACAACTTTGCGTTGGGCGACGAGCAGAGCGAGTTGATCCTTTCCGGCAGCGGTGAGCTTGCTTAACTGAACGCCTGTAACCTCAGAGCCGATGGTTGGAGTCAACTTTTGAATCTTAGAGCCTTCGGTGAGGAGGTCTTTGAAGGAGGGGTCGGCGTCTTTTCCGTGGTCGACGTGCGTAAAGGGTTCAAGAGGGAGGTACTTCTCTCCATAGTCCCATACAGGCAGGTAGTTTGGATGCTGCATCATTGTTAGGCCAAGCTATATGTGCGCGACTCAAAGGTCTCGCCATGACGTACACTAGCAGTAGTCTTCCCCCCTTCCTCGTCAATGATTCTTCTCACTCTGGGTTTGGTTTCGGTTGTTCCAGGAGCGGCCTTTACAGGAACAACAACTTCCGCAGTGGGAACTTGAGCAATGGATGGTGCCATGTTGTGCTAAGAGATTGGTAGATTTTGACGTTGGTCAAGTTTGAGCAATTATCCCTGGGATCTGTAAGCACCATCCACTTCAATATATATGACTTTCAATTCCCATTTGCTTCGCGCCATTTTGTCGTAGAATCACGTATGAATTCCTTGGTGTCCGATATACGCGAGAGTGATAAGCATCATGTGAGAGGATCGGATACACAAAGCACATCAACATTGATGCCGTGATATCCGTCCTATCGAATGACTCATTCAACATAGTAAGACAACAAATAGATCAAGCCTGACGTGCTATATCTGACAATAACATCATTTACTTGCCAATGGGAATGGTATAGAGTGTGGTCTTGGATGATTGATAATGTTGAGATGGCGTGATATGATGCAAGTGACAACCCCGCAAACGACTCTAGGTCCATGATAGATGCATGAAAACTCCGCAGTAGCGATGACAGATGTGGCATTTAAATTGAAAGAGTAAGAACTCGATGGTAGGTTCATTGTTTGTAGAGTTGTTCCGCAAGGCGTGTAAGGTTGCCGGTAATGATACAACTCACTCTGGGAATAAAGGCTTTTGATTCTTTAGAGAGAAAAATATGCACATTTCAAAGAAGGTGAAGTAGATATGATCGAGTTATATTGTGATGCTAGGTACGAAGTGTCTGTGCTATCATGAGTGGGTACCCATTAGACTGCCTTTCGTACCTCATTCCACTTTTGTGTTATACGCTGATTGAATCGTTCTTGACATTGATTTCGCCGGTTCGACTCTTGGCCTTCCTTGGCACAGATTGGGCAAACTATTTCATGATGCTAGATGTGACCATTAGGCTCAATAGGTTTAACTAGACTGTCACTGGTCAGTTTTCGGTCGCGCCGCGAGTTTTATTGTCTCCACAGAGTAGGCAGCATAGAATTCAGTCTCAAAATGGAAGAATGCTAAGAGAAACACGTGAGGTACTGAAAAATTCGCAATCACATTAAAAGTGGAAGTCGAAAAGTGACTTGCTGATCGAGAGGAGTTGATCTCGGGAAGGAGTTAACATATCCGAGGCCACGTGGTCTAGATCACGGGTTGTTTCCCCAGGTTCCCGTTCTGAATCACGTGATTACCATCCACTCTTTATAAAACGTTTTAAAGAAAGAAACGATACACATTCCTAGTCTACTCAATTTTCAAATCGGAATTTGTCTACCAGGATCATAGGAACTCCAAATTCGGTTCCATTTAGCGGTTACCAAAAATAGAATCATAGTCAAACAATCCTTTGCTTGCTCCACTGCTCTAAATATATCTTTCAAGTTCTCTCCTAGCTTGTCTTTCGTTCTTTGATATGAGGAGAGGATCTCTGAGAGGAGCATCAGAGCTTTTTCTTCTTCTATTCTAATCCCTGGCTCCAACAAAGAAAGCGAGCGAAAAGAGTGGAGAAAAATATAGTTGTAAAAAAGAGTCTTTGAGCATATGATAGCGATCTATCGGTGACAACCCATTCCATCTCAAGTTTCCTTTTTCTCTCGTCGCCCGTAAGCTTTCTTTGTTTTTATAGATAGCTTGTTCTTATTCCTTTAGGTATTTGTACGCCGAATCGTATGTACATTCGTGTCGAAGAATTTTTTCGAGACTCAACTTTCTAAGAAATATATCTTCAACATGTCGGAACGATACAACTTTCGACGTAGTACTCGCGTTCGGAGACTACCGCCCCAACACCTTGGAGGACCACCAACAGATCCAACTCCACACATAAAGCTCAAAATAGAAGACCTGGACCTTGACAAATCCTACATTGGCACTTTGATGCCACCTAAACGACCACTGAGGCCAAAGAAAACCAGACCATGGACCAAATGGACAGTAAGCGAGCCCCTTACCGATTCAGCTAAGCTTCCTCGTGGCTGGCACATGAATGAGGACGATCTTGAGATTGAGTGAGGCGGCATTGAATCCAAGTGTGCAAACAACGAGGTAATCAGAACTCAATAGCGATGTTGATGGCCAAATCAAAAGATGCCATGAGAGAATTGCCGAGAACATAATGCGTCATGTTTTTTTACCAAAGGCTGGAGGAATATATGGCTACAAAGGCCGAAAATGAGTGAGTCAGCTATATTGGTATTGCTTGTGCACAGATTCGCACCTGGTTAAACTATAGCCAGATGAGGTTCCCGGGGTCTGAAGAGCTCAGCTGGGATACTATTCAACGGGTGCATCAATTGGAGGCTATGAAGACAGAGCTCGCGAGTGCCGGGGATGAATACGATCAACTTCCAAATATTGAGGCTATTTTGGAAGCTTATAAATCGGGCACACTTGATTGGAATACTGGTCTTGTTACATATTGGTCGAAGGGGGTCCGGATCTGTCAACCAAGACCATTTGACTGGGATGAATTTGAAGCGATCAGCTCCCACTACGAGAGTCACAAAGGATTATGGACCGAAGGGGTAATTGATTCATTCTGTTTTCCATAAGTAACTGGCTGATGAATGATATCAGCTCAATAGTTCTGAGAATGACGTTCCCTATGCAGCAATCACCGCAGGTCCATGTCGAATCTATACAAGGCTGACTCGCGTGAGATCCATACCTATTATGGCTCAACCCTCTTCCAAGTCTTTCTGACTTTTTTTATCTAGTTAACATTAGCACTCCGTCTTCTAGGAGTACCGTGGTTTGCCAAGTTGGACTTTATTCACGATACTGGCTGCAGTAAAATGTCCATCTATCAAGGAGATCTTAAGATGCTTCTTGGTCCTTTTGGCGCAACTATTGGGCCACAAATACCGATCATCTGCATGTCAACGTCTCAAACTTGTAATGGCGCTGTAACCAGGCAATTGATTGAAATTGAAGTGACAATTCTTGATCAAGGTCGTCAGAGAATGACCTCTTGGACTAGAACTACATGCTGCCTGAATCTAGGAAGCTGGACATATAATAGCGTCCCCCGACTAGATGGCCCAATCGTGCACGATTTGTTATATGTGGCAAGCGCACCCGATAGCTCCCGTCGTTAACACATCTCAACCACGAAGTCTGAACTGGACCTGCCAGACCTGGACCTCGCTAGCAACCCAGGACAGCACTATGGGCAATCTAGAGGTCCCATGCCAGTCGGAAGATTTGCCGATACATATGGTGGTTGGCTACCAGAAATGCTAGGAACGTTGGAAATGCCGCCAGCAGCAGCTGGAGTTCCTCCCTAAGAGATTTATAAACCTGTCATTCCCTCGCCGACTGTTGCTTGTCCTTGAACTCACTCTTGATTCATTCGTTCTTTTTGTTGCTTATACTGTATTGCTGCCCCAGTTTAGCACTCTCAATTGTTTGTTGAGCATTTCTGTTGTTATATTTTGGTGCAAACCAAGACTGCCAATAAAATCTTACTGTTTTGTTATGTTAGTTAATGTAATGTTTTTATGGAGTAAGATAGTGTATGTGACCGGCATACCATACTTATGTTATCAATTTCCTCCTCGCACTGACGTTGGTCATATCTAGTTATGCCTTGGAACCTCGGGTGTAGCTATCGATGCCGTAATAATTGAGATAGAGAAATATGAGGCTTATAGGTTCATTTCGCAGTCCGTTTCTTTCCTATCTTTCAGGTGTAGAGCAATGTTAAATGCTAACGGTGCCGATCCAACCAACATAGGCGGCCCATGCAGATCGTACGGAACCTGGCAGTCTCCCTTTAACCCCTCTTCCTCTCCTTTCCACCTTTCCTCTCTTCTAGTACTAATACTTACTATCATAAATCACTTCAAGAACTTTGTATAAGAGAAAATTGGCTATTCCACGAAGTGTGTCAGTCGGTAAACAAATATAATGATCTTATTATTATTAGTGTTGTGATGCCTCAGGCCACGATCGACACAGGGAAGTCACAATTCATATTCTCAAGATGGAGCAATCTGCGAACCGTGAAATTTTTGTATCCAGCCGGCCTCGTGATCCGCACCAATACGCTTGGAACTATGGAGTAGCCAAGCTCTGGCTGAATTCCAGGGATAAAGATAATTTGTGGTCGCATTTAGCCCCACGCCGCTTCTTATGCGCTGCGGGTCGCTGGTCTAGATTAGAGACAGCGAGGTGGCAGCTATCTCGTCTTTTTTTTTCATTTTGCCTTCTCTTTTTTCAACTGTTAAGAAAGAAATTCTCACTCTGAATCAAAGCGACAAAGACAGTCTCAAATAATGTGATTCTGGCTACATTTTCGTGACTTTCGCAAGGTCAATATAAATTGCAGAATACTAGCGTATTGCAACTAGTGGCAATTCATCAACACTTGCACTGCAGGGTCCACAGTTAATTACCACCATGGGAGGTCTCTGAAACGGAGAGAACAATACCTTTGTAGGAATTTTTCCCGAGTTCCGTTTTTCAACTCTGCTTCTCCCAGGGGCCTCAATTTTCGAGCTCAAGTCAATCATCCATCATGCCTGTCAAAGAGAAGACAAGCGTGAATGACACGGAGCTGGGAAGCCCTAGGGACTCTACCGAGGAGTACGAGGTCTTCAAGAAAACCGAGGATGGCGTCAGCTTCCGCAGTGTTGGCTGGTTCAAGGCGTGCATTATCTTCGTGAAGGTCCTCTTCGCGACGGGTGTGCTGTCGCTGCCAGCTTCACTGTACTCCCTCGGTGCGGTGGGTGGCTCAATCAGTATCGTCGCATGGGGCGCGTTCAACACCTACTCTTTCGTGATTCTGGGCAACTTCCGCAAGAAGCATCCTCACTGCCACTCCATCGCCGATATGGCAGAAGTTGCCGGTGGTTCCTTCGCGAAGGAGCTTACTGGTATACTCTTCCTCATCGGCTACGTCCTTGTCACGGGCAGTGGTATTATCGGAGTTTCAACGGCCTTGAATGCGCTTTCGCACCACGCTGCGTGCACTGTCTGGTGGTCTTTCATTGGAGCGGTTGTGATCATCGCGACAGCTTCGGTACGCAAGCTCCAGCATGTGGGCTGGCTCACATATGCAGGATTCATTTCGATCTATGCCGCCGTTCTGATCGTTGTCATCGGAGTCACAACGCGCGACCGGCCGGCTGCCGCACCCCAGGAGGGCCCTTACGAGCTCGGCTACGTGGCGATCAATAATCCTGGATTTGCGGCTGGCATGGTTGCTTCCAGTACTATCTTCGTCTCTACGGCTGGTACCAGCGCCTTCATCCCGGTGATGTCGGAGATGCGAAACCCGAAGGACTACAAGAAGGCGTTATACCTGTGTATGGTTGTGGTTAATGCGTCGTACCTTGCTTTCAGCTTGGTGGTGTATCGTTGGTGTGGGCAATGGGTGGCCAGTCCGTCTTTGGGTGTATGTATCCTTTGCCTGACACCAGTTCCAGACACAATCAGCTAATTTTTGATATTTACAGAGCGCTGGACAGACTATCAAGATGGTATCTTACGGTGTTGCACTGTTAGGACTGGTCGTCAGTGCCACAATCTACTTGCATGTGAGTATCCCCCTCGCAACTCAGACCTCCGGAACTGACTTTGCTATTTAGATCGCCGCCAAATACATCTTTGTGCGTATCTTGGGTAACACGCGCCATCTGCAATCCAACACTGTCATTCATTGGGTTACTTGGATGAGCTGCACGGTCGGTCTCGGTGCTATTTCCTTCATCCTCAGCGAGACTATCCCTATCTTCAACTATCTGGTTGCCCTGATCGGGTCCGTTTGCTTCGCGCCTCTGGCCATGTGCCTTCCCGGTTTCTTGTGGCTACACAGCAACAGTCATTACCGGAAGGGCACACTAATACAGAAGGTTATTTACCTCCTGCACTGGGGAATGGTGCTCCTCGGAATTTTCTTCCTTGTTGGCGCGACATACGGTGTTATCATTCAGATCATCGATGCCTACGCAACGGGAATGATTGGTATGTTCTGCTATACCCGCAACAGTGCCGAACTGCGACTGATTTTTTTATTAGGCTCCACTTTCAGCTGCTTGGACAACTCCAGCTCGTCGTAAGTATGGGTCTTTACAGTACTGCTTAGGGATCTGCCGCCAACTGGAGTGGTGATATATACGCTCAACATGGTATGGATGGTTATACAGGAATTCTATAATGAGGGCCCGGGAGGTCATAATGTATGTTGTAATGAGCTGTCATGAAATCGTAACAAATTCTGTTTCTTCCTCGCGAAACTCTGCAAGCCAAACGCTAATGTAGGTACTGTCTCCACTAATTCCCAAATGCGGTCCCTCGTGTGGCTCACGGACGCAGTTCCGTGACCCCGGGAACCTACTTCTAACTACATTCGGCCTGACTTTTGTCTATCAAAACTTTAATTCCTTCCAACGTTCCCGCTTAAGATTTTTTTCCGTCGGACAGGAGAGGCTCTTGTGCCACATTCCGAGGTCCTTTTCCGGCTTTCATGACACATACCATTATGTATTTCAGTGTTACCGAGGTCTGGCTCCATCGCAAATTTGTGGTATCCCGTGTGGATCCACCCGCGTTCCACGACCTTGAAGTTCCTGGCCCAGGATGTGGGACGGGAATCCACGATGCCGTATCGCAGCTGCTAGCCGCTGTTGATCTTGACCAGCTCACGGTACGAAGGCTTCATTTTCATTCCCGTCCCGCGGCGCTGATACCATTGCGGGTCTTCACTCCACTCTTGGTCCGCCTGGAAGCGAAGGATTCCGGGATCAAATGCTCGATTTTTATCATTGCGCAGGTTTGGAACTTTGCTGACTTCTAGACGGCTGTGGGTACCAAGCAGGTGGATGGTGATAAGAGGGCATGTTTACTAGGATGGCGACATGGTTCGAAAGCGAGGTGGACGATTAATTTTTTCAGCTTAGGTATATGTGACTATGTCTGATTATCAATACCGATTAAACTAAATTTTGCCTAAGTTTACGCCTTCGATCTTTCCTTTTCACCCGCGGAAAATATATATAGCCGGGATACCA